ATGATAAGCCATCTGTAGTCCACACCGCATTTTGCCCACCACCTGTGGCCACCACCGAACCCCTTCTTCTGGCATCTGTCTACTTGCTGGACCAGGCTTGCGTCCTCCTTATCTCAGTGCTGATTCACAAATTGCTCCGCTGCTTGCCTTGACGCTCCCGCATTCTCCTCCAGGTCACCGGCAGGGGGTGGGGGGGGTGCTATCCCACTTTTGACACCAGTATAATATCAGCAGTAGTAACACAGGGGAGGCAATGATTGTGCTGTAGGAAGTGCTCGTTATTGAATACACTGGCAGAATACACTGGTATAAGCCATACACTTCACCCTGATGATGACCAACCCCCAACAAAAAACTCTCAACTAATATACTATATCAGTATTTAGTGTGTCCACCCTTTAGCCTTTATTAAAGCTTAAATTCTTTTCAGGAAAATCTCTTTTTAAGTTTTTCAAAGAAATTTGAGTTCAAAGTTCAGTCTTAGAAGCTGGTTGATCATTTTCTGAAGTAATCAAACACAATCAGTGATGTTGAGGTCTGGACTCTGGGGTGGCAGGTCTACTTATCTATTCAATATTCTTTATATATGTATATGTGTATACAGATGTATGCAAAAGATTGAGCAACCCTGGTCAAATTACATTTATTAATTTTGAAAATATGCTGACTGCATGCATCCACTACCGAGAGCACACTTCTGCACATAACATATATTAACATATAAAAAAAGTAAACATAAAATGTGGCCCTTGCAAAAGTTATGGCACATTTTATGTTTTCTGTTTTAAATCTGTTTCCATATTACTTCATACCTCTTCTTTTTCACCACATATATCGACTTAGAGTATAAACAATAAAACACTGTCATGGAATTGATTCTTTCGTGGCTTTCCGTCTTTGATAGCCTTCATATTTCTGAAGACGAATGACTTCATCAACATGGTTATTTTTCATCATTTTCAATCTTTCTTTTTCCCATAGTACACCTGTTGTACAATATACATCACACACTGCAAATTCAGTAAGGTGGCACCAACAATTAATTAGCTATTTATATCTTTGTCAAAGCTTTTGAGGTTTCTGAGTTGCCACATGTTCCTGAGTAGCAACCCGCTGGTTGCTAGTGCCACCTGTTGTGTCTCATTTTATTCAGCAGGTATCATATTGGTTTTGCCGTGTCTGTATGTGTGTGCCAGATGCAGAAGCTCCAGCATTAGTGCGACAGAAGTCAGACACAGTAAGCGCTGCTGTCTGGTGACCCCAGTCTGTCAGAACCTCATTCAAACACACCCCCCCACCCTCCACACCAACACAGACGTGCCAGAACACCTGTTTGCCACCCAACCATCAGCTAATTTGGCTGATGCAGCCGGAGCTGTGAGATTGAAAGCAGAACCGTGCTACGCTAATCTCCTCACATCTAAATTGCTGCACACAATCAGTCTAAATACACTCCATTAGCGCAACTGAGCAGATAGACTGTCCAAAAGTTTGCAGACATCTGCTCATCCAGAGTTTCTTTTGAAATGACAGGCGCTAATAGAGAGTTTGTCCTCCTTTGCTGCAGTAACAGCCTCTAGTCTTCTGAGAAGGCTTTATACTAGATGTTGGAACATTGCCATGAGGATTTGATTGCATTTAGACATGAGCATTAGTGAGGTCAGGTACTGATGTTGGATGGTCATCCCAAAGGTACTGGATGGAGCTCCATCACTCCAGGAATGCAGTTCTAATGATTGGCATTGGGCATGATGAGCATAGGTTTATGTGAAATACTTGCTGACATTTAATTGCCACATGAATCATTACAATTGACTGTGATCTTTTTTGTTCATATCAATCAATCAATCAATCAATCTATTAACCTTTAAATAATCTCAGAGAACATTGAGGGTGACCCTCATTTACAATGTTGCTGAGTTGATACAGAAAAAAAGGATTAATAATGTGTAAGAACATATCAAATAATAAAATTAATTTAATAATAAAAACAACACAAAAATATAAAAACAATAATTAAAGTGTAGTTAACAGGTAAAAATTAATAAAATCAAAAGAAGATAAAAAAACAAAAGGAGGATAAGATCAAAAAAGGGAACTAAAATTAATTAAAATGACTGAAATAATAATAAAATAATCATAATTAAAACAAGAATAAGAATATGAATAATAATAAATAAACAAATAAATGTAAAAAAATATGTATATGTATGCAACTATTGATGTAAAAAAACCAGCTAAATATGTAAAAATTGCTGAGTACCAGATGCCATATTTGGTGAAAATAAGACAACATTTGATCAGATGAATCTTAAAGCAACTGTAAAGCATGGTGGTGGATGCATTATGGTTTGGGGCTACTTTTCTGTCTCAAGGTCTAGCCAACTAAGCATAGAATTGATTGTCAATTGTCTTTCATACTAGAGCATACTTGAGGAGAATGTGGGAAAGTTTGAAGCAAAAAAAGTGGACCTTACAGCAGGATAATGATCCCAAACACACAAGTAAATCCACCAAGAAATGGCTCAAAAGGAAGATTTAGCAATGGAACTGACCACCCCCCCCACCCCGCCCCACTTACCCAAAATGAGGTGCATCAGCCAAGACATGTTTTATGTCTGAAGTTTGCTTCTTTTGTTTAGCACCGGAGCTATGAGGCTAACGAGTTATGTACTTACATTTACATTTGTTCATTTAGCAGATGCACAAGATCTGCAAGGTGTGGAAGCTGAGCTGAAACAAAGTACCTAGAATTGCATTAGCCTCAAACTTCAGTGTGAAACCAAAGTAGGAAACTTTGAAAGCCACACATGTCTTGGCTGATCGACTATGTTTAGGATAAGGGTGAAACTATTCTTACATTTCGGGCAAGCGATTTGTATCAGCCTGGTCCTCCCACCAACACGGACTACTACAAACCGAGTCTCTAACATTCTCATCCACCCACTGCCAGTATATTTAGTTTTTACCCCAGCATGTTGTGCTTCTGACCGTGCCTTTCAGCTCAGGCTCAGGCCAAACATTTTATAAACAGAACTGAATAAACAAACAGGTGATCAGGTGCATTTTCGTATGTCAGAAACAATCTGTCGGTCACTGTGCTTTGCAGATGCTGCGGTTTTCTTATGTGTGATTGGTAAGCCACAGCAGGGTCTACTGACCAGCAACTGGGTCAGACAGTCAGAGGAGATGTATTCTCGTACTTCTCTCTCTCTCCCAGTCTGACTATCTGCTCTCTCTACCACTCATTCATTCTCTCCTCACACATTTCCTCGCTCTCTTTCAATCCCTCATTCTCTTTACCTCTCATTCTTTTTCTCTTTGCTCATTTTTTCTTTTGATATGCTGCATACTCTCCATCTCTTTTTCTCTCTTATTATCTCCCTCTTGTCTCTCTACCTCTTTCTCACTACCTCTCTCTCTTGTCTCTCTCTCTTTCTCTCTTTCTCTATCCCCTTCCCTCTTGTCCATCCCCCCTTCACTCTCTCTCTCTCTCTCTCTCATACTTTCTTTGTTCATGTATTCTCACACTTCTCTTTCTCTCCCAGTCTGACTCTCTCTACCACTCATTCTTTCTCTCCTCACACATTATCTCTCTCTCTTTCAATCCCTCATTCTCTTTACCTCTCATTTGTTTTCTCTTTGCTCATTTTTCTCTTTAATTCATACTGTCCTGTTCTTTTTTTCTCTCTATACTGTCTCTCTACCTCTCTCTCCCCCCTCTTCTCTCTCTCTCTCTCATTCTCTGTCTTTCTCTCTCTCTCATTCTCTTTACCTCTCATTCTTTTTCTCGTTGCTCATTTGTCTCTTTACATGCTTCATGCTGTCCTTCTCTTTTTCTCTCTTATACTGTCTCCTTCTTGTCTCTCTACCTCTCTCTTTCCCCCTCCTTCTTGTCTCTCTCTCCCTCTCTCTCTCTCTCTCTCTTTCTCATGCTTTTCTTGTTCATGTATTCTCATACTTCTCTGTACTCTCCCAGTCTGACTGTCTTGTTCTCTGTACCACTCATTCATTATTTCCTCACACATTCTCTCTTTCTCTTTCAATTTCTCATTCTGTTTACCTCTTATTCTTTTTTCTCTTTGCTCATGTTTTCTCTTTATTTGCTTTATACTGTCCTCTTTTTCTCTCATATTCTCCCCCTCTTGTCTCGACCTCTCTCCTTCCCATCCCTCCTTCCCAACAATTTTTCTTTAGTTTTTAGTCATTACTGTGGGCATGGATGAGGACCTCCAAACACACTTGTGCCCAGAAGCTTCACAAGATCATGATCCATCCCTATTTCAACTGAGAGACCTCCAAAATGGATAGACATTGCATTTCATGGCTACTGTGGAAAGGGGTCAACCAAAATATCAACCACTTTTATTTTTCTCGCTTTTGTGGAAATAAAGCACTTTTCCTCGTAGACAGCAGTCCCCACAACTGAAAAATGTTCCTGATTTGGTCCCGACAAAGAGCTGAATACACTCACAACACCCACCCTGTACCAGAGTTTATGCTGTCAGGTTGTATCGGCGTGTGAGCAGACGCTGAGTGGCAGCAGGTGTCATGTGTACGTTGTGTGGTTGTGTGGGAGAAAGTTTTTAATGGTTATGAGATGTCATTCGCTTTCCTCACTTTCTGATGGCTGGGAGACGGCTGGGGACGGCAGCGTTGGTGGATGATTGATTATACTGCACGTCTGCGGAGGGTGAGGATGCAGAGGGAACACGTGTGCCTGTATCTGCAGAAACAAGTCTTTAGTGATCATATCGTTGAGCTCAACCTTTCCTCACAACCTCGAGTCTCTCACATCACGATCACGCTCATCAGATGCATCTTATTATAGAGCAGTAAGAGTGGTTCAAACGTAGAACGTGAGAAATGTTTTCAGTTCTGTAAATGAGAGCGTCTGAGGTGCTAACAGTGTGAGTGCACCTGCTTGATGGCAGCTAACTGTGATTAATGGCTGTAATGCACTGAGGCAGGTGTGAACCAGCTGTTTGTGCATTTTGTAGGTAAGCCTCAGTTCCTCCACATGGGAGAAATGGTGGATGGGGTGGACATGAGGGCCGAGGTCGGGCTCCTGAGCCGGAACATCCTGATCCGAGGAGAGATGGAGGCCGGTTGCTATGGCAGCGAAGCCTGCAAGTTCTTCAGCTTCGACACGTTTGGGGGACACCTGAAGGTACGACACTCCATCACTGTCCTAAGTGCAAGACAGTAATGTACTCTATACTGAAGTCATGCTAGACGAGGAAAACATTTTCAGTATGTGTAAATATAATGGGTTGTGAAATACACAATATACACACATGTATGACCGCCTCACAGCAACTGAACTCTGTATCACTCCGCCACAAAAAAACCTTGTGCTGTTAATGGAATAATCTTTGGCTTTCATGCTGCTCGCAGGGACCACCGAGTGTATTGATGAAGTAAGAACCCGTTCGTTTTTGTTTAAACTGAGGGGCTGGTGACCTCTATTCTTAACTAGAAATAGGCTGGTCAGCAAGCTAACAGGCTAAAAGATAGCTAACAGCCTAAACAACTCCATCATTAATATCACAGGCTTGATTTAAAGTACTTATGGTATGATTGACTGTAAAACGGTGGTATAAATGTGTAAAAATGTCACTTGAATGGATTAAACGCTTCAAATGTCCATGTTTCAGACAAAAGTAGCATCAAATCCAGGCTGGATCCCAAATGGCTCTGTATTCCCTAAATAATGTGCTATGTAAGTTTTGAAATACTAGTGCACTATTTGTCGAGTACTGATGTGGCTGAATCCCAAATGACTTTTTGTTAGCCATATTATGCACCGTTGGGTTGCAGGAGTCACCTTCCAGCTATAAAACGTCCAGAGACACTGTAGGTAAGTAAAAAGAAAAAAATTTACTCCATTAAAAATGTAAGAGTGGAACCGAAAATACGAGTGAAAGTCAGAAAGTCTCGCCAATCCAACATACTCAGTGTGTATATTATAAAGGGAGATTCACTCAAAAGAGGCCCCGAATATTCTGTAATAACTCTCGCTAGGATGAAGCGATCTGAACAAAACAATGTGCAATGTGCTCCTCAGTATATGGAGCTTCAAACAAGCCAGGATGCCCCTGCATTGGAGCGATGAGGTAGGTGGCGGACACGCATCACAACGTTTAACCTCCGTTTGCAACTTTCGGGTGCATACCCCCCGCACCCCTTCATGTGTCTGGCAGAAAACGGAGATCACTTTAAGCATTGCATGTAATGCAATTAATTACACATACATCAAGGTATGTAGCATATTTTTTTGGTTCAGATTGCTTCATCCTAATGGGAGATACAACAGAATATTCAGGGCACTTCCGAGTGAATCTCCCTGTAGTATATTTAAATACTTAGTACTGACTATGTATACTTAGTACTAAGTATGTACAAGTAAAAAGCAAATGAGCTAACATATACATTTACAGACATTTTTCAGACCCCCAGAAATCAACTCTGATATTTTTATATATAATCCAATAAAACACAACTCTATCATCAGATGAATTAGGACTCTGTTGTCTCTCTCTATGAGTGAAATGTTGTGACTCTGTGTTGAGCTGCCAGTGAGCAATGAGGGGTACAATGGAATGAATGAAAACCCCCTACTGTGAAAAAAGTAAAATAACAATAGCAACTAAACCCTGTAAAATACTTTTGGAAATGTTGCAGCTTGCTTGGATTAATTCAGTATTATGTAAGATTTGTCTTTTGCCCTAGGCTATATTAATATTGTGCTATTTAAATGAAACTATAGAAATAATCCCAGTTTATAGTAATCTCATGCTGTAAAACAAACTGTAGAAATAAACTCAGGTTATGTTTATCTCATGCTATAAAATGAAACATAGAAATAACCCCAGGTTATATTAATCCCATGCTTTAAAATGAAACATTTCAATAACATCTGATTATGTTAATCCCATACTATAAAATGAACCATAGACAAAACCCCGGGTTATATTAATCCCATGCCATAAAATTAATAATAGAAATGAATCAGGTTATCTTAATCCTGTACTAATCAATAATCCCTTCCTGAGTTGGATTGAGCAGAAGAATTCTCAACCGTGCAGGACAGGTGTACTAGAGGATCAGGATTGGTGCTGCCATAGACCGCACCCCTGCTCCTCTTTAAACGCTGTCCTTGCTTAACTTGGGGGACAAAAAAAGAATATCTAGTGTGTGAACTTGGCTTTTGGAGTGAGGGCTCCTGAAGGTGGTTCCTCCAGCTCAGCGTTACCGTGCCGTCACACACACCAAGCAGAACAACGGCAGCCTTCAGTGGGTTCTCCTGCAAACCGGGGCTGCACACAGAGCCTGTCAGCATGTGTGTGTGTGTGTGTGTTTGTGTAAGGGTCACGGAGGCAGCTGACTTCCTCCATAATTGCTCCATATCTAGCTGCTTCTGTTCCCTCCTCACCTTAGCTGTCACGGGGAAGGTTGGCATGCTTCTCCTGGTGGAGAGAAAAAAAAAAAAACAACATCGTGCTATGCACCATAACTAGGCCACTCCACCTTGTAACGACCCAAAGGCCTGATGAAAGTAGGCTAGTTAAAGGAATAGTTTGGCAAAAAAATAAGTAATAAATAAATAATTCCCCAGATATGGTTAGTCAGCCACATGTTTGGTGTCTGATGTTTGCTTCTTTAGGTTTGAGATAGCTTATGTAGCTAACGAGTAATGGAAGCTTATAGCTAGTGATTAGCATTGTAGTTCATTTCGCATTGGCTTCAAACTGCACTGTTGGAGCAGCATTCTGGCCTTAATCTAGCATTTAAGATGTTATTTGTTGTGTTGTGTAGAATTCTGTAGCACAGCATTGTGTCTCTCAACCTTGTTGGTTTGACAGAATTCACAATTTTGAACTTTTTTAATTTCTTTCCTTCAATGTTCAACTCACTACAGTACCCAGTATGCATTGCACAAATATGTCAAACAACTGCTGGAAAGACAGTAAAGAAATATGCTGTTGTAGCAGCTAATTAATACAGATGTGATGTCAGTGGCTTAGATCCAGGTTCCTTCTGCATTAGCTTTCAAATATCTGTCCCAAAACACTTGTAGTTTTTCAAAAACTTCTCCAGCTTTGAGGTACATCATTTTTGTTGTCTTTAAACTGGAAAACCTTGCTGTAGAGACTGCTGTGGTACCACTGTAGGAGGTGAGTAGGCATGTTTACAACAGAGGTAGCGATGGTTAAATGTTACGTTTGTGGTTGGAATGTGACTTTAATGAATCTTAAATATATTTAAGTGGTTTTCTTTTATCTTAAAAATGTTTACGCATTTATAAACTGTGATTTTGCTCAAATGCTCCATCTTAACCCATTCATTTTGGACTCGCTCGAGAGCGCCCTGTAGCATTTGAGAAACCTGGCAGACATTACAGAGTGGTAATTCTCCTCTACAAGGATGTGGCATGTAAAATATCACTAAAGTTCAGCGTTTTCTATCTCAGAGCGACACAGAAAAACTTGCTCATGCATTTGTTAAAAGCAGAGTTGATCACTGTAATGATCTTCTTACTGGACTTCCTAAGAAAATCCATCCTTTACAACTCGTACAAAATGCAGCAGCATCCTAACAAAAAAAACACAGAGAGATCGTATCACTCCTGTTTTAAAAGAACTGCATTGGCTACCTGTATCATTCAGGATAGATTTTAAAGTTCTGCTACTAGTTTTTAAGGCTCTAAATGACCTTAAAGCACCGCTTACATCACAGAGTGTCTGTCCGTTCATGTTCCAGCACGTGATCTTAGATCTGCAGATACTGACCTTCTACACCTTCTGTAAAATACAGAAAACATGGAGAGACTCGTTCAGTTATTCTGCTTCTAAACTGTGGAACTCAATTCACCTTTCATTAGACAGTCAAGCTCAGTGCTCACTTTTAAGAAGCATCTAAAACGTATCTGTTTAACTTAGCATTTAATTAAGCTTTTTAGTTCGTTGTTTACTGAACTTTTCCTATAAAGAATATCAACAACAGTCGTTACTTTATGGACAGAAAGCTGCCACTTAGGCCGTTGTTAGGTCATCTTTACGGCTACAAATGGTGCAGTTATACAAGTATAATTTTTGGATGCAGATTTATTTGTGATCATCGCTACAGAATGTTCATCAGTACTTGTCAGCTGAGATGAAATACGACTGTAATGCTCTGTAGACACATCCACACTCTGAGGGCCTGGCACACTGACCCTGTTCCGAACATCTGACTGGATGATTTCCTGGTTTACAGGGCCGACATTATTGACAACAGCAACCACAAGTGAGTTTTGGAACGAGAGCGCATTTCCTCATCCATTAGAGAAGACTTCTTACCCGCCGCCGCCTGTCGTGCTTTATTTAATGAAGCGGCGTTGAAACAATTACAGAAATGTGAGATCTAGGTCACACCATAGCATCGGCTGTGGAGAGAAACTCACAGAGAGAGATCCATCTGTCTTCCCCTAGGAAGCATCAGGCCACCTAATGCATCCTGATTTGCCCCGTGTTTTATTATTTTTTTTCCCTGTCCAGCAAAAAGATGTATACTTTATTTGCGTTGACATGAAAACTCTCATCTAAGGCCCCCAGAGGCAGAAACCTCGTCATGAAATATGAGCAATGAAAGAGGTGGGAAACGGGTCTAACCTTAAAATCTCTAAATCTAGTTTTCTGTCTATTTTTTATATGCATATATTCTCACGCCCCATTATACAGCCACTTTACCGTCCACACTGATGAAAGATGGAGGATTTGTTTCTGTCTCTCATTTGTTTTTGGTGCATTCACTGAATTCCTGCTGCTCTGTTGGACCAAATTCATCCTTTAAAGCCAGCGTTTGTTAGTCTAAAATATAATCACTCATGATCTCTTCATCTCTCTCTCTCTCTCATTTTCTTCTCTTTTTCTCTCCTCACTCTTTACTCTTCCTTATGCTTTCCCCCTCATCTGTCTTATTCTTTTTCTTTATCTCTCTTGCTCTATTGCTTTTCTCTCTCTCATTCTTCTCTTTTACTGTCTCTCTCTCTTTCTTCCTTTTATCTTCTCTTTTACTCTCTCTCACTCTTTCTTCCTCTTTATCTTCTCTTTTACTCTCTCTCTCTCTCTCATTTTTCTCTTCTACTGCCTTTCTCTCTCTCATGCTCTCATTCTTTTCTCTCTCTTTCTATCTCTCTCTCTCACTCTGCTCTCTGTAACTCTTTCACTTTTCTCCCTTATTCTCTCTCTTTCTCTTTTATCTTTTCCCTTGTTTTCTCTCTCTCTTTCGTCCTCTTTATTTTTTACTCCCTCTCTCTCTCACTCTCTGTCTCTCTCACTCTCTCTTGCCTTTCTCTCCCTCGTTATTCTTCTTTTTTCTTACTCCCTTTGTCTCTCTTTTTTCTCTTTAATTTTTCTTTTACTCCTCTCTCTCTCTCTCTCTCTCTCTCTCTCTCTCTCTCTCTCTCTCTTTCTTTTATCTCTCTCCCTCTCAGGTGGAGCATGGTTTCAGAGCAGTTCACATTCAGGGTGTTGAGCTTGTGCACATGGGTCAGCAGTCTATGGGCCACTACCCCGTCCACTTCCACATGAACGGAGACGTTGACCAGCGTGGGGGTTACGACCCACCCACCTACGTCAAGGACCTGTCTATCCACCACACCTTCTCTCGCTGTGTCACTATCCACGGCTCCAATGGCCTGCTGGTGAGTGCCTGCCTTCTACTACTACTGCTACTGCTGCACAACTTTTCTCATAATACTTCAATTTAGAGATCAAGTTAGAGCTCAACTGTGCAAGTGGTATAAGTGCAATAGTCATCAATTTTGGAGATAATATTTGGACTCAAACTTGTCTTGGTCTCAATAGCATTTGCAATATTTTAATATAATAGTATAGCGTGTTGTCATGTATAATTTCTCTTAAAGAGTACAGCAAAATTATCATCCTAATTCTGTTGTCCTGAGTGAATCTGTAGGGAGTAGTTTACTTTTAAATGACTCATCAAACAATTTTAATAGAAAAAATCCATTAGTTAAGGCTTGGTGCCAAAGAAGGCTCTGTGTTTTGTGGTCTCGATCTCAAGCTCACTGCCATTTTGACTTAGTCTTGACTAGGTCTCAGCCCCCTTTTCAGTCTTTACTTGATCTCAATTCATCATAGTCTTAGGCCTAAGAGTTAGGCTCAGTCCCATTTCACCCCTTGCCCCCACCACTTAGCGCTACCCCTCTGTTTTACATGTTGACGTCTAGGGGTAGGGTGTCCTGATTTTTGTTGAGATAGAGGGTAGGGTGAAACAGAGGTTTTTCAGAGGCACACTCCAAACAGAGTGTTATGAGAAAAAAGAAAAACCAGCAAGGTGGCTGCACAAGCGACCAAAGAAGATAGATAGATAGATAGATAGATAGACAGACAGACAGACAGACAGACAGACAGATAGATACTTTATTGAACCCGAAGGAAATGTAGCAGCCAGTAGCAGTCACACAATACAGGACAGTTATAATAATAATAATAATAATAATAATAATAAGGGTGATAATAATAAGCGTAAGGGTAAAGAAACCCACAAATGTGAGTAATTTCTCATAAAGAATTATGATAACCATTGTATTATCTTAGTTTAATGTTGTTTCAATGTATTATGGCCCTTTTCTTCATAAAAAGCATAAAAAATCACTAGTAGTATGCTGAAGTCTTGGTAGCTAGCTAGTTACATTTCCCGTTCCACCTTAAATGGTGCAGAAAGTACATTCTGGTGCCTCAGGCATCAGAACTGCTGCCAACCCCCACCCCTGCCCCTCCCCTGAAGGCATATGATTCCCTAAATGTAACTAAAGCTAAAACTTTACCCTCCTCTGCTATCACTGCAGACTGGCAGGGTCACCTACAGACCACCGCTAGTAGCATGTTAATGAAGTGATGTTCTTTTTATTTGAGGGTCGTCCCATTTCGTAGGGGAAGATTTCAACCACCCAAGGGACAAGGTGACACTCGAAAACAAGGGGTGGGGTAGAAATAGGAAGTGGGATTGGGTCTTAGACTTGTCTCGGACTCAACAGAGGAGGTCTTGACTCTCCTGATTTAATTAACCTAATTAAGAAGTCCTTTCTGAGTTGAATCGGGTGCGCTAGAGTAGGGAAAACACTAAAATGTGCCGGGTTGGATCACTGCTAAAGATGACAGTCTGCTCTGGCGTCAGGCACTGTGAAAATTAATGAAATTTAAGAAGGTTTATAACCACCTGACACTTTCCAAAAGCTCCAGCCAAAGTTAATAACCAGCAGTCCCAATATTGTGCATCTGTATCAGTAAACTGTATTGTGAGCAGATGAACATAAAGCAGCACAGAGAGAGAGAGAGAGAGAGTAATAGAGTCTGTGCTGTGGGGAATCTCAGCCTTTTTTATCATCCCAAGCCTGCTTACCCAGGCAGGGTTGAAAAGTTCACAGAGTTCCTCAGACATTTCTTTTTCTCTGAAAGTCGGGTTTCGCTGCAGTTTGGTTAAAGTGGCGCTTTGCGGCCTGCCGCTCCGCCACGTTACTGCACAATCACTCCGCCATCTGTCGCCTCCCAGCTGCCTTCCTAACGAGCCTCCAAACAGCCGCTGGAGCACCCAGCACGGGCACACTTTACCTACCAGCGACAATCACTCTGCATGGAAGTCCTCTTATCATAGCGTGACCCTGAGGAAAAGAGCTAGCGCTGGCTAATATCTAAGCTTTCACCTTCCTCTTAGTGCGCTGTAGCCCTACATTTACCATGACCAATTAAACACCAGCTGCCTTTTACACTGTGTAAACATTTCATAGTGAATGTTTTTCCTACTTTTATAAAGTTACTATTATAAAGATGTGAGTCAGCAGCTATATGTGTGTCATAGTCATGTGCAAAAGTTTTAACATCCTTGGTCAAATGACATGTTTTGTTGAGTTTCTGAGTATAAAAATTAGTTAGCACATCTTGCACAGAGAACAAATGTAAATATTATCTGAAAATTTTCTATTTTTTGCTGAGGTTAACATAAAAAATAAAACATAAAATATAAAAATATGCCATAACATTTGTACAGGCCACATTTTATGTAAAAAAAATTTCCCCAGTATGTTAAACCGAGCAAATAAACAGTAGATGTGCTTTAAAAGGTGCAGAAAACATTGTCTGTAGAAAATGTGTTAAAAACACTTATTTTTACCTGGAAAAGCAGCAAAACATGTAAAAACATTGACATTTTACCGGGGGGCACAAACTTTTAAACATGACTGTACGTATATACATACATATACATGTATTGAAGGAGCTATATATATTGTTGGCAGGGGGCAAACCTCAGTAGTGGTAGGGTCGGTAGGGTCTTATCAGTGCAAAACACATACACACAGAAACTCGTAACAGTTGACCAAACCTATTAATAACAAATAAAAACCGTTAATTGGCTGGTGAGCTGACCGGCTCATTGGCTGAGTGAAACTGTTCATGCTCACTCTTCTGTGTTCTTAAAATGACTTCATTTTTGTATATAAAAATGAAGCATTTACAATCTAGGATTTTGTGCAAAAGCTCCATACGAACCCATTCATTTTGGACTTGCTCCTGAGCGCCCTCTAGTGTCTGGCAAACCCAGAAGAGCAGCAGTTCTCCTCACCACACATTCTCTGGTTGTGGTTGGGTTGTAAACGTACAATGCATGTGGGTATTTTGTTGTTTCTGATTGTTCAAACTCATCTTATGTTTTTTTTTATTAAAATAAATTATTGAGCATTCTATTTTGTCACTACCAATACAATCATAACCCTACCAAAACTTTACCAAATATTTCATCATATTTTTCACTGAAACACAAAAAGATTTACTTAATTGCAGACAATATGTGTTTCAGTAGTGGCAATTCTTAATGTTACACATTGATTTTCAGACTTTGGGATACATTTACTTCAAAACAATGAGATCTAACTGCTCACCATGTGGCCGTGGTGCAGGAACAGGGATACAGTCTCTAAAGTGCAGGAACTGGGCTAAAATAAGGCTCTGCCTACGGACTGAAACTTTGTGAAAATGAAAATGTGGGACAGCATTTTTTCAATAAATCCTTTTTATTTTAAAGTTAGACTCACAATAAATCTAAATCTTTCAATTTCACTTTAAAAGCAATCAAAAAGTATTTTAAATCAAATGATCAGTCTAGAGAATAGCAAGCCATTTGACGTTTTGCCATAGTTTTCTTGGATAAGATGTGCTGTGCCATCCTGCTAGCAGTGTAGCACTACTTGCTATCGTTCTTTGGTTTCATAGACCACTGTGAAAAACAAAAAAGTGACAAGGTGTAAAGTGATAACCAGTTAAATCAAAGAAAGCTGTTGACAAATTATTTCAATGAAATTCAAGTTGAAGTAAGCAATATGTGTATCTGCTGTGAAACAAAAGAATGATGCTAAACGATATCTTTAAATCAAGGCGAGTCAAACTCTTAAAGTACTTAAGGTCTTAAGTCATAAGTTAAAAGTTAAAGAAAGCATTGTGTATTAGTTGTTGGTGGGGGCCACCTGTCAAAAAAGAAGTTCCGCCATCCAGAGCTGTGCTTACGCATTGTGTGCTGAGTTTTGTGCTAGCCGCAGGTGGCTTCGACTGAATTCCATCATTCTGACGGGAGTAGCTCTGTGACGAGGCCTCCTGGTAATGTGCCTAACAAGGCTAAGTATTCTTTTGCCTGGCGGTTGTTGTATCATACACAGGGCTAGCGCAGCACTCACCTACTTTCTTAAAAGGCTTAATGGAATCGCTGTCAGCCCAAACAATCAAGTCTCAGTATGCCAACTCACACTGGGCAGATAATAGCCTGGCCAGCTTTGTGCGCGATGCTGGGAGAGTGGGCTGAGCATTCACAATCCGCCGGCCCCACCGTGGCTTAGCAGAAATTCACAGTAATGTGTTTTAACCGCAGAAGCCTCACTCAGTGGAATGGAAAATGAGGGCGATAGTGTTCATGAAATGCGGTCAGCTCTGCTGATAGCCGGAACTGGCTTAAACACGATAAGCAGTTTTTTGGAATTCAACATAGAAAGTAAGTTTGCAGTTAAAAATGTTATCTATAAGTATCTCCAAGGCCCCACAGACATTTATTACTAAAATTTCAATTCAGTTTAGTTTAATTATATTTCTACAGTGCTGTCTACAATAGTTTGTCCAGAAATGCGGTCGTAGCCCCCTAAAATAAATATATATAATAAAGTTTCTATATAACATATATATTAGATCTTTTTTCATTGTGGCTGGCCTTATAGCATGCTACTTTCAAGGTGAACTCCATTTTTTCAAAATGTCTACATAATTAAATTAAAGAGATGTAAAAAATTTTACTCAGAGTGGTTTGCTGTGAATTGTAGAAACTTGGATTTCTCTACAGTGGTGGTGATAGGAACCAGGGGTTGTCATGACTACAACACAAATATAGCCATTTTATTCACTTTCCAAAACCACCAGTGGCCCTAGACATGTCTTTTGAGTGTTTATATGCCATGAAATTTATGGAAAATAGTGGTAAATCTCAAAATTAAGTCCCTCTCCTGACCACAAACAGATAAAAAAATAATTTTAAACCAAAACCTTCTCAAAATGATTGTAATACAGTGTTTCAGACAGTGTATTCATAATCATTTATGTAAAAAAAAACATTCTGTGAGGGAGCTTTTAGAGGTGGACATCTGGTTCCTATCACCACAACTGTGAAAAATTCTAATTCGGCAGGTTTCTGTGGAACAGAGCATTTCACACCAAATCTATATAAATGACTTTTTTTTTTTTTTTACATCTTAACCATTTAATTGTGCTGAAATTGTGCTTTGAAAAATCTGTGGATTTCCTCTTTAACTAACTCAGCGATTTGTTTCTAGCTAATGCTAATGTTCAGGCTTGAGGTTCTTAAGCACACTGTACATAAAGGGATGTGTTACCTTGTCATAGCAGATTTAGGTGCTCCATTATTGGTATTTATTTAAAATATTAACCAAATATTTGATTGCTAAAAAAAGAAACTCATTTAATTATTCATTAATTATACAAGCAAAATGCTGGTGTACATGGACCACAAACACAACCTAAAAACCTCCTTCTAATACTGAGCTTGTTCCTCTATGCAGGTGAAGGACGTTGTAGGTTACAATGCTCTGGGTCACTGTTTCTTCACGGAGGATGGCCCTGAGGAGAGGAACACGTTCGAGCACTGCCTCGGTCTGATGGTGAAGGCCGGCACTCTGCTGCCCTCTGACCGCGACAGCAAGATGTGTCGGGACATCACAGACGGCGCTTACCCTGGCTACGTGGCCAAACCGCGACAAGACTGCAGGTGAGGGGTCAGACAGAGTGAGGCTGTTTATGATAATGTACCTTTAAGACTAATATGCAAATGACCTCTATTCTGATTGGCTGCTCTATGACTGGGCCTCATTCGAGGGCTAAAACACCTTTTATAGCTTCAGTGTGAATGGCCTGGGCTAAACTGCTGTAGGCTGAATAGGTGACTATATGTAAATATGTTGGGTTTTGTGACATCATTCATGTTTCCATGTATAGACTTTATGGACAATTTTAAAATGACAACTCTTTTATTTCTAACAAAGAAATGAGGTTTTGCTTGAATGAAAGGCTGGTTTTCCATGATCAAGACCCATTAACATAAGCAGATTGTCACTGCCATATGATTCCGAGGCTGACATTGCCTAATAATAATTTTATCATTAATTTAAATTGATTATTAATTGAATATCCTAGCTGATATTGTCAAAGTAGCATACGCATTAACAAATAACTGGCTTCAGTGCCTCCACTGATAGTAACTAAGTAATGTTATATCAGGCAGAAAAGGTGTGGTGTAGGTGTGGTGATAATAGTGGTCAAGATGGATTATTAAGAGATCAATAAAATTAAACTGAAGCTTTTTTGAGGTTATTTTTTTCTATGGTGGCTTTACTCTTAGCTCTTTTTAGTACTTCTTAACTGCCATCATTTTAAGCGTCAATCAACTATGCAGGCTACTGTTTTGATATGTACAGGCAGAAAGCTCTTTTGCATCTGTGGCCATCACTGAAGGCCCACCTTCCTTTATCTGTTGGGTCAGCACTGAATAAACACTCTTGATGTGGGCTACTTCAGGGGTTCTCAACTTTTTCCAACCCAAGGCCCACCTGTGTATAACTACAAAGCACATTGGCCCAGTGGCGCAGTGGGTAGCTAGGCTCCAGCACTCCCCCACCCCCACCCCCCGCAACCGAGAAGAATAAGTGGTTCAGAAAATCTGTGTGTGTGTGTGTGTGTGTGTTGACATTGAAAACCTGAGAATCAGGGCCTGAGTTCAGATAGTCCACTCGATTCAATCACAATGACCAAAATCTGCAGTTAGGTTCAAAAACATAACATAATGTTTAAAAACATGTATATAAGATGTTGAAAAAGGTGGGAAAAAAGAAAAAGAATAGAAATGTTCGAGGTAAATGTGGACTGTGATTTGAAGCTGCAATAGCTACATCGCTTTTTACCTGAAAATAATCCAAAGCCTTTGGTCTATAGAGTGTTTTTGATTCATTTGAAATAGCTAAACCTCACTCCACTGACCAGGCTTTTGGATTAGCATCATCACGATCAACAATAATAATAAACCTTACTTTATATTTGCTTCTTTAGGATTAGTTCATCAATTTGAGTTTAACCACTCAGGCCACTGATACTCGGCCAAAAATACATTCCTGTCCATGAGCCGAAATCAAACACATATCTTCACTATTATTTTATGCTCGTGCTGCGGAAATGAAATGAGAGCAAATGAAAGTCTGTAAAGAGTGAGACATTGAAATGGGCAGATCACGCTCAGTGTGTCCCAATTCAGGGGCTGCAACAGCACCACTGTTCCCACCCTTACTGCTACATCATGAAACACCTCTCCTGTCAAGTTCTTTTAAAGTTCTTTAAAGATGGAGCCAGAATTTTTTTCCCTTTATTAGAGCTGGAGAAGTTTCACCACCGGCGACAGATCAGATTGGGTTTTTTTTATCATTTGTATCATTAGCTGTTCGCCTCAGTTTAAACACAATACTTACATTTAAAGTGTCTCCTCAGCTGCCGTTCACTCCTCTGCTGTCCCAAGCTGAGTTGTCTCGTTTATTTAGGTTACTCTTTCAGTGCTTTTATTCGTACATGTATTGGTTATAATTAGATTTTTTAATTATTAGGTTAATCTTTTTTCCACTTATGTTTTTAGAACTTATTTTTTTATGACTTTATGAAAGTGACATTAGTGGCCCACTATGGCCTTCTTTCTTCACCTGAGAACTGGCCTGCAGACCACTACAGGGTGCTTCATGGCCCACTGGTGGTCCATGGCCCAAAGGTGGAGAAACCTTCATTTTTTTGACCATTTCAAGCGACTTTTGCACACAACAACAGTGACCCAAATGTGTCTCTTCCATTGAAAATAATTTTTAAAAAGGGGCCCTCAAAAACATACAGATCGTATTAGATGTTTACAGTCATGTGAAATACTCTGGTTCAGTCTGAGTGACCATGAAAGAACGCAGAATCCTCTTCACTACCCCCCCCCCTCCACAGTGAGGCTGTAGCTTTTATGTCATTTGCACATACAGCAAAATTCCAGCGGCATTATTGAAACAGGAAAGGCTTGAGGCCTGGAAGTTTAAGCAGCGAGAAAACTAATTAAAACTTGTCAGTCAAGTCTGGAAATTAAATTGTAATTCTCAAGCCAGTGTATGCTGCACATCTTGAGTCATTACACTAATCAGACCTATTAGCATGGCCCCATTCTACCTGCCATTACCCTTCCTCTCCACCCAAGCACAGTATGTCATATTAACCAGCTCTTTTTCATGCCATTATTACTCCGTAATGATGTTTTATTCTCAGTTGCACTTCGCTCTGCATGTTTTATGACCTTGGTTAAACCTCTCTAATTAAACTAATCAGATCACCACATAATAAGACTGTGGTTGCCTATAAAGAGTAATTCATACAATAATTCATAATATCTGCTGAATGGAGAGTCTCAAAGGGGAGCTCCGCCAATTGCAGCATTTTACATTTTTGAGATATAACAGAGTCATTCAGAGTGGTTTGCAGTGTAGAGAGTGTACCATCAGAATGTTGATGATGGTAAAATAGGGATATATCTGAAAAAAATAAGTTTTATTTTGCCTCACAACATCCTGCATGCACGTTTCTGCTGTGAATATGTTTTAAAAATGATGTATTTTAGTGAAATAACCTTAACTGCCATCAAACAATGTCTCAGACACCAGGCAGCATATTTGCAACCATTTCATATAAAAACTTTCTATGAGGGAGCTTTTAGAGGTGGCTGTCTGGTTCCTATCACCACCACTGTGAACAATTCTGACTCAGTAAATTTCTCTAGAACGGATCATTTCATAGAAAACCACTCTGAATGACTCTGTTTACATCTCAATGATCTAATTATGCTGAATTCTTTCAAAATTTGGTGGAATTTCCCTTTAAGTGACAAAACCACGCCAGACTCTCTGACGACAGACAGAAGTTGTTTGGCTCTCTAGAATACAGGCGGTACTGAAACAGCACTCCTAGCCTACAAACGCTTCATAAAGCCAAACAAAGTTAGAATCGACTGTCTGATGCTTTAGCAGAGCATGTTTATTATGTTTGCTGCTGAAGACGAGCTGCGTGATGAATGAGCGTAGGCTGCACAGATCGATCATCCGAGCTACTAAAGCCCTGGAGAGGCAGAGCTGCTATTGCCTGATATATGCTTGATGTGCAACATTTATTTGAAATCATGACCAAGTCATAAAAAAAGAGAAGTTGGCCAGTCCATATTAAAATCCATATTAAAGCAATAGTTTGGCAAGAAATCAAAGTTATGCAGTTTTCCAACTTGTTTGTAACTGATCAGCCAGGACATGTTTGGTATCTGAAGTTTGCTTCTTTAGTTGTTTTGCATTGGAGGTACAAGGCTAATGTGGCTAACAAGTAATGGGAGCTTATGTACACCAATTAGCATCATGTCTAAATCCTCACGCACTGGCCTTAAACTGTGTGGAGTTGCTCAGTAATCACCAATAGACTTACTTATGTGGTTTCTGACACTGTAAAACATACTGTTATCTATAAAAATGGTTAAAAGTACAGACAAAATTCAGACTTCATGATGGCTACCACTGTTTTTAGCTATACAGTGTCCATTTTTGTCCAGTAGTCATGTTTTGGCTGCTCTTAGCTGTCAATTTGATTTATTTCAGAACTATTGCTTTAAATGAATCGATTAAAGCACCTATTATCACACATTTTTCCCTGATGGGCCAAAAACAGTCAAAATGTACTTTTATTGTGCCTTTAAAACTGATTTATGTAAATGATCTCTGTTCTCTATTCGGATTGGCTGCTCTCTTATTCCGCCTCAATCAAAAAGCAGTACAGGCTGAATCCTCAACTTCTGCAGGCTGAATAGATGGATGTAAAGGTGCTGATTTTTGTGACATCTCAAAAACAATTAATTCAAAATACAGTGGACTGGTAGGTGATGGGTACATTTGAAACTCTACCAATGTTTTCAAACTACAGCAAACAAAAGTGGAAGAAAGTGAGGAAAATTCAGTTTTCCATGATATCAGCTGTTTAATACGATTAGAATGACTCAAATTAGAGTCTCACATTAATTAATGAGCATGTTTATAGGACAATGTGCGGGAGCTGATATGTATTAAGGCTGTAGATGTGTGCAGTGTGCGATTAGCGAGGGCTAAACTGCTGTGTAGGATAGAGATAAACAGGCTGTTTAAATTCGGAGTGGAGTCACAGGTTTGTGTGCGTGCGAGTGTGTGAAGTTACGGAGCTGTAATTAGTTTGATGATGCTCACACACTCCAAAAACTGCAAAATCTAATGCCATACATACGAACAGAGAGTGTGCTGTAACAGTAAAGACAATGCATTAATTAGAGAGTGTGTGTGTGTGTGTGTGTGTGTGTGTGTGTGTGTGTGTGTGTGTGTGTGTGTGCGCTCTCGGTCTGTGTACACTCACAATCTACCTAAACCTGCGATCATTTGAAGCAGCACAAGCAGTAACAATTTGTCATGCTTGAAACAATAGAAGAACCATTTTGGTGCTATAGAGAACCATTTAAAGCAAATTCTATATAGAACCATATACAGCACATTCTCCAACAATCTGAAGAATTGTTTTGCACCAAAAAGGGTTCTTCTGTTGTTACAAGTTTGGTGTCGAAACAATAGAAGAATCCTTTTGGTGCTATAAAGAACCCTTTTCAAAAAGGTTCTATTTAGAAACATCTGCAGCACATTCACCATCAATCTGAAGAACCCATTCATGATGCAAAGAACCCTTTAATCATGTAAAGGGTTCATTGAGGGTTCATGGTTCTATATGGAACCATTTCCTTAACTGAAGAACCTTTGAACAACCATCTTTACACCAAGAGTGTATAGAACCATATACAACACATCCTCCCTCGATGTGATGAACCATTTCACCCTGCAAAGATACAAGAAGACAGAAAAGGACAAAAGCTTGGAAATCACATTTCATGCCTCTCTCTCTCGCTCTCTCTCTCTCGCTCTCAGTGCCACCTCCACCTTCTGGATCGCTAACCCCAATAATAACCTGATTGACTGTGCGGCTGCAGGCTCAGAGGTGAGTAGCTTTAGCGCGTTAATGAGTCTGTTTCTGTCTCAGCGCTGTGTTATTTTAATACAGACGTTGCAGCTAACAGGGTTAGAGCCGTGCTGGGCCAATATTGGCTGTTCAGTATGTTGTTTGTTAATTGTTATTGCTATATTGACTTTTGTAATATTCATATTGCCAATGGCTGCAATATGCAAATGAGCCCTTCGTTAATAAATCACTGAAGTTTTCATTATTATTTCATTGTGCGCCTCCTGAACAACTTCAGATGCTCCAGCTCTGTTTCTGTGGGTGTTTAAATGAATCAGGTTAATCATGTAACCCAACAAATGCAAGTTATTTTGCATGAACTTTAAGTTGGCTTGACAGACCTGTTGCTGTGAAAACTCTAAGTGGTTGCTAAAGTGTTGCTAGGCTGTTGCTGTTATTCCAGGTGGTTGCTATGTCATTGCTATGGAATCTCAGATGGTTGCTAAGGTGTTACTAGGCTGTTGCTATGGAATCTCAGGTGGTTGCTAAGGTGTTGCTAAGCCATTGTGATGGAATCCCAGTTGGTTTGCTTAGGTGATGCTAGGCCATTGCTATACTATTCCAGGTGATTGCTAAGGTGTTGCTAGGCCATTCCTATGGAATCTCAGGTGTTTGCTAAGGTGTTGCTAGGCCATTCCTATGGAATCTCAGGTGTTTGCTAAGGTGTTGCTAGACCATTGCTATGGAATCTCAGGTGGTTGCTAAGGTGTTGCTAGGCCATTGCTATGGAATCTCAGGTGTTTGCTAAGGTGTTGCTAGACCATTGTGACGGAATCCCAGTTGGGTCTTTTAGGTGATGCTATGCTGTTGCTAGGTTATCCCGGATGGTTGCTAAGGGGTTGCCAGGTGGTTGCATCCCTAATACATACAGTCCAGATAACGAGGTTAAAGAGGAATAAAAATGTCTGCATAATTCACTCGTTGAGATGTAAATAATCATTCAGAGTGCTCTGATGTGAATTCTTCATTGTAGAGAAATTTACTGACTTTCTTTACAGTGGTGGTGATAGGAACCAGGGGTCACAATGTCTACAACACAAATATAGACATTTTAATTACTATCCAAAACCACCCAAAAATGCAAAAGCTTCTCATTTCATGACATTACAAAAACAGGGGAGCAAATTATGCATTTTCAAACTTCAATAATGTCTATATACTACACCAAACCTTTTAATCAAAAGAAATAGTTTTCCATGATATGATTCTTTTGAATATACTTTAAGGCTTGTACATATTGCAATATGTGGCAACAGAATTGCAATTCTATTATTTAGACCACACTGTGCAGCCCGTATACACACAGTGCAGCTTGCAGGGTGTGATCTTTGCAGGGCAAAGGAATACTAATATTTACATGCGAGAGTGACACTTGTGCATATTTATATGAAAGAGAGAGAGAATGTTTAAAGAGGTATGTTTGTGTGGAAGAGTGAAGGAGACAGGGGGGTTGTTTGGTAAGCTGAGGGCGTTTTTATGTCCGCTGCTGTGTGTTCTCTCTCAGTGCCCTTGGTATCATTATGCAGTGCCATTAGTGCCGATTCACACGTCCCCACCACTCAACACATACTGTGCATGTGCTCCCCCAGGAAACCGGATTCTGGTTCATTTTCCACCACGTCCCCACGGGTCCATCAGAGGGCATGTACTCTCCCGGCAAGACAGAGCACACTCCTATGGGGCACTTCATCAACAACAGAGCACACTCAAACTACAGGGTGAGTGTGTGTGTGTGTGTGTGTGTGTGTGAGAGAGAGTGTGTGTGTGTGTGTGTGCTTGTTTTTCTACATTTTTGGGACAAATATGAGAAAATTAAGGCTAATATATAAAACCAACAATTATATAATTCTTTATATTAGTTAAATTACTAAACAAAATCTGTTATGACAACTCATGACTGTATATAGCATCTGCCATGACATGTTATGGCATTTCACCGCAACCCAGTCGAATGCAAAAGTTTGGGCGCTCACAGTCAAATTATGTTTAAGTTGAGTTGTAAGTGAAAGTAAGTCAACACATCCTCTATCGAGGACATACTTCTTCACATTTCAATGCACGATTACTGTTTATTTGCTATATTTAACATATTGGGGACAAATAAAACACATAATTTATCTTGTGCAAAAATTATGGCACATTTTATGTTCTGTAACATTTTATTTATTTTTTTAATGTTAAACTAGAAATTGTGCACATTGTGATGGAATCCCAGTTGAGTTGCTTAGAATTATGCACATTGTGATGGAATCTAAAATTTACAGCAAGATACCATAGTATAAGTGTGTTCTCTGCAGAGCCCAAACATTTATATACGCTACCATTAAAAAATTTGGAATGATAAATATTAATAACTGTTGTCATATTGTCACTATTGACACTATTGTCAGTGTCAAATTAATAACTATTGTTATTTTATACAAGAGCAACTTGTATACTAGTATAGTGAAATCTTATAAATCAGGAATAAGAAGGTGTTTTTGGATGTTTTTATTTAACATTTTATGCTTTTAAGGAACAATAAGATTAATAATATAAAAAATATGCTATGATTATGTATTCATATCTATCTGCCCTGAAGTTTTGATCACCACTTTTACAGTTATGAGCAATTCGGCCATCAATTTTAATATTCTTTCTTTCTCATTCTAGATATTGAACTAATGAGTCATTTTAGAATCATCTGCAGCTGTTCTTCATTCTGGACAACATTTCTGCCTATTAGTGATTTGAATTGATTGTAGCCTGCCAACTTCATATTATGCATTTATCTGCATCACAGTTAAATTTCATATTACTGAAAAATAGTGATTCCAAACCTTTGGTTGGTAAACATATAAATTGTCCTGTAATCCGCTCATATGAACACATCTCTTCACCGCCTCTCAGTTTTGAAATATAATTTATCTTTAGCTGTCAGACATTCCTAAAGCAGGCACTGGAGTCAATGTCTGCTTTAAAGCACAATGTCCTTGGGTTGCTATGCAGGCAATTATGTGGTCACCAAGGGCAACTTCACTTCACAACGGTCCGCCGCTTGGTGGGAATTAGTAAGAAAGTGCTGTAGTGTGATTTCTTTTTTTTTTTTAATCCCGTGTCATTAAATTTGAATGCGAGGCAAAGTTTAGCGTCACTCTGGGTAATCAAGTAGCCTTGAGGATTAGCAACAGCCAAGCGAGCGTGGATGGCTTTTTTAAACTTAAGTGACTCAATCAATGAAAAAAAGGACTAAACAAAACAAAAAAACAAGGCCTTTGTGGGGCTCAGGGCATTCACAGATTCTTTCTGGGGGTTTTCGGCAGGCAGGGATGATCCTTGACAATGGGGTAAAAACCACCCAGGCTAACGCCAAGGACAAGAGACCCTTCCTCTCACTCGTAGGGGCCAGGTTAGTCACATGCACGTATACGCACATATATACAAACACAGTCCTCTTTATTTCCTTTAAAGTGCCTATATCCTATATTTTTCTCTGATTTTATTTGCGTCCACTTATAACATCTATGTGGTTTTATGTATGAAAATTCATGGTTATATGACCAGTTCTTTACAGTTAAAGATTCAGTTTTTGTGACTGTACCTTTAAAACTGAAATATGATACAAATATATTGGTACAAATGCTCAATTTTTGTCATAATTTGTTTTGACATAATTTGGAAATGCCTGTTACTCTTAACATTTGGTGTAAATTTCATGATGAATGGACCAACAGAAACGTCTGGTTCCATTGACCTACATTAAAAGTAAAGTATGTTTTTTACTTCTCCTGTAAAGTTACCATTTTGGAGATATGAGGTTTCGTTTCAACAGCTATGATATCGATATATATAACATTGACACACTATATAAATATTTTAAGCAGTTTAGCCCTGCCCATTCCTGCTGAAGTGATATGGAGTGTTGTTCCTGCAGACAATCAGAGTTAAAGATGTGGGAAAACAATTAAACATGCTTTTCCTGGCTGTTGGGAAGCAAATGGATCATTGCAGCCTTCCACATGTCCGAAAGGAGCGGCTGAAGTGTATTTTTTTCTACATTCCTGAATGTTTTAGTCCTAACTTAACAGTTTCTTTCACATTTCAGCCTGGGCTGCTTCTTTAATTAGGCACAGTGCAGGGCAGCCAATCAGAATGTTCTACTTTTACATATATAAATCTTCAAGGCACAGTAACAATTACAGCCTGTTTAATTGTAAGGGATAAAAAGAGGATGCAAAATTAATTATTGTTGTACATAAAACCACATAAGTGTTATAAATGAGCTTCAGGGAAAAGAAACAAAACAAGAAAAATGTAAATATGGGACCTTTAAGCCACATTCTGTTTTAGCTGCTTTCACCTGTTGATCAGTCTTATTCTCACTGTCTCCACCATCTGAGCATGTTTCACTGATGTTTGACAGGTATGGCCCCCACCAGGACGCTGACCCCTTCAAGCCCAGGGTACCTGCCCTCATCCACCACTTTGTGGCGTATAAGAACCAGGACCATGGAGCCTGGCTCAGAGGAGGAGATGTCTGGCTGGACGACTGCCAGTGAGTTCACGCAGATGGTCTTCAGCTGGTCACTAGAACAGTTCAGGATCCCTCAGTCCACATTTTTGCAAAATTCTTGCTTTCAATACAATTGAACCAGAAAAAAAGTCAGTATGTTGGAATAGCAGAAATACATCCTGGCTACTTTATTAGAAACCCCTCACTTGCAGCTCCACTTGCTGGTGTACAGTTAGAAACTAGGTAGCTCATCACAAACTATGGGTAGATCTGCTTCAACCCATTAGACACTGTGGCTGGCTACCCAACTTAAACCATATAAAGTCACTTTCTGTTGATGCTTATGTTGTTAACAGTTAAAACAGAGCTCTGAATGCTGCACACTGAGCAGGCATGACTGTAATTTAGCTACAACAAATTATTGGCCATTATTCTAATTTAGATTAGATTTAGATTAGTTTTAAATCAGCCTTTGTGGATTCATTCAAGACACAGTGATAGATTAACTCATAACATCAATTAAATACTATCTATGTTGTAGTATACTACTACTACTACTATAATTTATTAATTGATTATTTATTTAATTTATTTAATCTTTATTATTAGGTTATAGAAGTGTGTAACAAGTGAGTGAGTGGAAGTACAGTGTAGGTGTTTCTAATAAAGTGGCCAGTGAGTGGAAGCACAAGGTAGCTGTTTCTAATAAAGTGGTCAGTTAGTGGAAGCACAAGGTAGGTGTTTCTGATAAAGTAGCCAGTAAGTGGAAGTACAAGGTACATGTTTCTAATAACAGACAGTACACTAGCAGCTTTCACCTAAACCTTTAATATAACACTCAAACATGTCATTGTTGTGGTAAGAAAACCTTGAACATCTGAAGCAGTAACTTTACTGGAGAAGGAAAAAATTATTTTAAACTTTAATGTAACCTAAAGCCTATTGGTTCATTCATAATGGAATGTGCACACAGTATAAGGAGCATTTAAAAAAACAAAAAAAAAAACAAAAACAAGAACGAAATGTCCATAGGTAATCATTTTGACAGCAACAGTTCATAACTGCTGTGCCTTCAATGCAATGCCGCAACAAGTTTCAGCACTGACTCAACTTACCCTTGGAGCAATGCACTGGCCATTTGCCTCAGTTTTGTGGAATCACACGATCGTATCAGTTGGTGCAGGTCGACTGTGTGTTGTAATTTGTACAGAATGGACTCATTGTGAATGTGCACAGCATGTGGCCTTCGTTGACTCTGTATGTCTTTTTTGGTAGGTTTGCTGATAATGGAATTGGCCTTACTCTTGCCAGGTAGGTCTGCTAATCACTCCCATTTTTTTTCGCTCACACACATTTCGCAGTCGAAAAAAAATTGATGTGTTTATGTTTGCTGAATGCATTATAGGCCCCTATGCTGGGGCTGTAATTGGAAAACGCCATATATGGGAGGCTTCTTGAGATGCACTGGGGAAATCAGGGGGCTTTGAGAGAGTGTGAAAGTAATTCAGTGGTGTGAAGGGAGCAGCTCTGGGGGAACTGATGTGTATGCACGACGGGGTCCGTCTACGTTTAGCCCACCATTACTCTCAATCTATGTCTGTGTGTAAATGCATGTACGTGCCTGTTTTCATACATTTTCAGGACAAGAAAGTCCTGACTTCATAGCAAAACCATAGACCATATATGACCAACAATATGGCCCAGACTAAAGTGCTTTTTAAAAGTACTGTGCAAAAGTGAGACACCTTTCATTTAATTGATTTCCAGTCAAAACAGCCTCTAAGATCAAGTTATTTATTTATTTTTTTTTTTTGGGGGGGAGGGTATTTCTGAAGATATTAGATATAAAACGATCCACTTGCATGAGATAGAACAAAGTCAAAGTGAAAAAAAAGAGTTAAAAAATGGGGCTCCTAACAACCACCTGGAAGACCTGTTAGACACCAAAACTGCCCCCATCAGATAAACAGCACTTAAAGCTTTCATCTTTGAGAGAGAGGAGGAAATCAAGCTGCTTCAGATCTAAAAACATCCACAGGTGTTTCTGTCCATCCTTCCATTGTGAGAAGACAACTCAGCGTTGTGGGTCTGAAAGGATGTGTATCTGTCAAGAAGCCTCACTGAGAAAAGGAGACACATCAAACAAAGAAGCTGAATAACGGACTGACCACCCCAGAGTCCAGACCTCAACACCATTGAATGTGTTTTATTACTTCAGAAAATGATCAACCAACTTCCAAGACTGAACTTTGGAGGTGTGTCTGCAGATTTCTTTGAGGAACTGAAAGTGAGTCTCCTGAAAAGAACAGAAGAGTGGACACACTAAATACAGAAACAAATATATTTAGTTGCTGAGGCTTCTGTGTAATTTCCCTTTAATTAAGTTTTCTGTTTTTTCCTGATGTTGAAAAATGAATAACTTGTACTTTAATGGCTTTTCACTGGAAATAAACAAAGGGCGGTCTCTGACTTGCGCAGCAGTGTAAATAGCTTTACTTTATTTTCCGACATTGAATAAATAAGAGCTGTGTGTGTGTGTGTGTAGTGGAGGTACCTTCCCAGATGATGATGGCTCCAGGCAGGAAGTGAAGAACTCTCTGTTTGTGGGAGAGAGTGAGAACAAAGGGATGCCAACACCGGACAGCCGCACCTGGGGGCCTGGGGGCTTAGACCACATTGGCCGGACCCTCCCCAGAGGAGTGTAAGTAATAGCAAATCCAAAATCCTGTTTTTTCTGCTGTTATTTATATTTAATTCTTTGCAGAGACACGTCAACCATTAGACTACTAGCTGTTATAGTTGTTTTGAGATACAATTTACATAAAATTACATAACTGCATGAAGAATTAGAGGAGAGCAGAACACACTAATGCGAGGTTAATTTTTTGGTTACTGATTTGTGTGTATCAGTCACAGAATTCACTCCTATATTACTTTAATCTCTCTGTTGGTGGCTTTAACATAGTATGAATTTAAAGCATATCGCTGCTGTTGGAATAAAACCTTGTATCTCCAAAAAGGTAACTTTACAGGATGAAAAAAATGTTCCTGACTTTTAATGGAAGTAAAGGGATAAATAATTTTGTTACAAGTAATTTTGGACCATTTCTGTTGCTCCGTTATCATGATGACATATTATAAAAAAAAAAAATGGGCCTATTCAAATTACATCAACAAATGAAAACACCAAAAACTGAAATACAAGGTTTTGTCCCAACATTAATCTATTAAAACTAAAGAGCAGCCTCCTCATGGTGGAGGTAGTTTTACCACAGTGCTGCAATAAAACCCCCTGAAATAAAAAATGATTGCGTTTACATTCATTTAATAATCCAATAACTGCAGAAAATCAGATTTTGTCAGTAATCCGAACACCCCGTTTACATGCACTTGAGTAATCAGATGCTGGGGAACTCCAGGTCTACATGAGTCAGGTAGTAATCAGATTTCTGCTTTGCAGCCAGCCAATAAACAGAAGACGATGTGAAATAAACAGAAGACGATGTGACGTAAACGTAACATAGAACTCAAACTTCATGCCAGGGCTTTTTTTAAAAAAGACATCGCACCCTTTTACCTGAAAATATGAACATACGTCATCTAGAAGATGAAGAATATTTTAATCCTTTATTTCGTCAGGCATGTATTTGGTTTCAGCGTCACTCCAAAAGTGTTTTGCTGCCATCTTGCGACAACACTGCTTGCTTATTTCCGATACCGCAGTCTGTTTTTGCACATTCACAGACTGAGAAATCCAAAAGAAATCAGAGTAAGAGTTTACATGCACTGAGAAATCTGATTACTGAGCTAAAATCCAGCTCTCTTTATTGGATTTATTAATAGGATTTTTAGACCTTTCTCCGATCTAAGAAATCAGAGTGTGCTGTTTACGTGACTATTTGAATAATCAGATAACTGCAGAAATTAGATTATGATTGGATTATTGAGTGCGTGTAAGCGAACTCACTGAGAGAAGTCCATATCCCTGCAGTTCAGTTTTTGGAGCTTTTTATGCACATATCTTTCAGACACATGCTGTTGACACAGCCACATTTGACACCGCCTTTTTTTGCTAGTCACATTTATTTTGATGCTTACAATTTTATGCAGTTAGGTTGAGATGCTTGTCTGGTCCAAACAGCATAGAACGGTATTGAATTCATTTTGCTTGCATCGATTTAATAAAGATTTCAGTGAATGTTAAAGCTAACCCTTCAGTTGTTTACAATTAGCTCCACCTATCGGGAAGTTGTAATAAAACTTTAACTGTTTTCAGCTAAATTATTCATTAACAGTAGGTGCTGAAAACAAAGTAGGTTTTCATTTGTAGCAAAGATGTGTAGGTTGCTTGTTTGGAAAAATTATTAATCTTGCTCCAACACTTTTAAAATTATTTAGCAAAAAAACATAATGTGTTTAGTTGAGCCTCGCTGTCCTCTACAAAATTTTGTAAGTAGTTACATTTTGGTTTCATTTGCATTCTTTACTGATAGGTTTAAATCTGCATTTTGTCTTTTTGTTGTGATGTCAAGAAATAATAAAAACAAGGCAAATTGTAAATTTAATTTATTTTTTTCACAAATCGACACAACTTTTATCAAATTCAAATCTCTCCTCTATGTACAAACATAATCTGCAGTCTGTACTTTTCTCTCAGTTTCTCCACTTCAGCAGTGATAAGTTAGAAACAATTCATATAAAATTACATGCTTAAAAAAGATGAAAGGTTCTTTAGTAAAGGCAGTGGTTCTGATTAGAACTTTGAGTTCTATATAGAACCATTTCATGCTTAAATGGCTCGTTGCATGGTGAGATGGTTCTTCAGATTGATGTAGAATGCGTTTTTTATGGTTCCAGATAGCACCAAAAAGGGTTCTGCTATCGTGTACAAGCTTGACATCGTAACAACAGAGGACCTTTGTGGTGCCACGTAGAACATTTTCAAAAACGTTCTATATAGAACTATATACAGCACATTCTCCATCAATCTAAAGAACCATTTAACCATGCGAAGAACAATTTAAGCATGAAATGGTTCTATGTAGAACTCAAAGCTCTAATTAGAACTACTGCCTTTACTCAAGAACCACCTTTGAAGAACCATGTTTTTAAGTGTGGAATTTTATATTAATTGTTTCTGACTCATAGCTGCTGAAGTGAGAAACTGTGAGAAATGGTTCTAAATGGGACCACTGAATTTACTAAAGAACCCTTGAAGAACCATCTTTTTAAAAGTGTATGCATACTTTTATTCTTTTATTTTTTTAATGACTGGTGAAAACTGGGAGCTGTGAGGGTCTGAAAGGGTTCTAAATGACACATTTGACCCTAATTTCATTAGCTAGAACTTAACAAACTGTGGCTTTTCACACAGGGATTTCCCCATTCGTGGCATGCAGATCTACGATGGTCCCATCAACGTCCAGAACTGCACCTTTCGCAAATACGTGGCTCTGAATCGACGGCACACAAGTGCTTTCGGGTTCCGTCTGAACAACTCGTGGCAGAGCTGTCCCAACAACAACGTCACTGACATCACCTTCGACAGCGTCCCGGTGAGATCCGCCCCTCCGGCCACATTCCAGCCTGAGCTTATCACACCTCTGCGTCTGGCCTCTGCGAAATGTGTGGGAACGTTTTATGTGTCGCTTAAAACTAATGGACAGGGTCAGCGGCTCTGAGCTACGAGGAAGCGGTGTGATTGAGTTGGTGGAGGATATGTCACGGTAGATTATGATGAAACAGAGGGAAAACTAGCCACACGCTAAAGCTCTGACAGAGGTGTGAGAGAGATGCGCGGACTGATAAACCTTTTTTTTTTTTTAACATTTTTAATAAATCAGTTTGTTTTCTTTGTCAATTTACAGTAACTTACATGTTAAATCACATGCTTGCTAATGAAGAAGCTTGCTAGCTAACTTTACTTTTGCCCCTCTCTCCCTCTCTCACCTCTCTCTCTCTCTCTCTCTCTCTCACTCTTTCTATTTTTCTCTTCTCTTTACCACTGTTTCTCACATTCTCTCTCTCCTCTTTTTCTCTATCTCTCTCACTCTTTCTGCCGTTCTCTCTCTTCTTACACTTTCTTTCTCTCTCTCACACATTTTCTATTTCTTTCCTCTATCTGTTTTTCTCTTTCTCTTTATCTCCATCTCTCCTATCTCTATTTATCTCACTTTCTTTCTGTCACTTTCTCTCCTCTTCTCTCTCTCTCTGTCTCTTTCTCACTCTCCTTCTCTCTCTCCTTTTCTCTCCTTCTCCTGTCTTTTCAGTCTCTCTCCTCTTGCTCTCCGTCTACTCTCTCTTCTCTTACTCTCTATATTTCTCTCGCCCTCTCTTTTTCTCTCCCTTTCCTTCTATCTTTCACCTTCTCACTTGCTCTGACTCTGTCACCTCCTGTCAATCTCCTCATGCAACTCTATCCTCTTACTTCATCTCTCTCTCTCTCTCTCGATCTCTCTCTCTTTCTCCTCTTACTCCACCCCTCTCTCTTCTCTTACTTTGTCTCTCCCCCTTTTCTCTTTCTCTTCTCCTACTTGGTCTCTATCTGTCTCTCTCTCTTATCTTATGTAATCTTTTTACCTCACTCAGTCTTTTTCTTCTCTTACTCTGTCTCTTGTCTTACCTCGTCTCTCTTCTCTTTCTCTTCTATTTCTCTCTCTCTCTCTCTCTCTCTCTCTCTCCTCTCTCTCTCTCTCTCTCTCTCTCTCTCTCTCTCTCTCTCTCTCTCTCTCCATCTCTCTCTCTCTTTCCCTCTCTCTGTTTGCTGCAGTCATTCAGTGAACTCCACTCAGTTCTAACATCAGTCTGAATTCCTTATATTGCTTTGTATCTCTACAGTATAAGCCGGTCACACTTTCCATTATTGTGAGTATTAAAGGTCAGACTGTTGTCCCTCTCTCATCTCTGCCCCGTATTTCAGATCACCTCCCGCGTGTTTTTCGGAGAGCCGGGTCCGTGGTTCAATGAGATGCAGATGGACGGCGACAAGACCACCATATTCCACGATGTGGACGGCTCAGTCAGCGAGTACCCCGGTGCCTTTCTGGTCAAGGAGGACAACTGGCTCCTGCGCCACCCAGACTGCATTGACGTTCCTGACTGGAGGGCAGCCATCTGCAGCGGGCGATTTGCCCAGGTAAGTGCCACCCTTGGGCTGCCAAAGCACCAACACCCACACGCACGCCTTCCTGCTACTACAAACATGACTTTCTTTGGTGCCAACCAAGGTTTGTTTGGGCACACGCTCTCCCTGCATGAGCAAGAACATAAACATGCGGTCCTCATCCAAAACACAACCTTGTTTGGTGCAGTTGAGCATGCTGTGATCTTTAATTTACTCGTGCTGGGCCGTCAGGCACCTGCTTTCTTCCCTTTTCCAAATATCTGTTTGTAAAGAGGAGAGCTCTTCAGTTTGAGGCACTTAATTCCAATCATGCACAAATAAACAAACCCACATATGCACACCTAACGCTTAGCCCCCTTAAAATCTGAATGGGGGTCTTACGCTCAATAACTAAACAACCTGTGATGATTCTCTGTTGAGAAGCCTTTTTTAGTCTAGATTTACACTAAATCTTAGGTTTAAAAACTGGCCCTAAAAGGTTCACCCCTTTCCATCCCTCTTATTCGCTCCAGATTTACATCCAGGCACGGAACCCAGCCAACCTGAACATGAAGATGGTGAAGGATGAGTATTCAGAGCATCCACTTGAGCTGGTGGGAGCGCTGGGGAAGAGGAACCACTACCAGCAGTACCAGCCTGTGGTCACACTGGCAAAGAGCTATACTGTTCACTGGGACAGGGCAGCACCTGCCGAGCTGACCGTCTGGCTCATTAACTTCAACAGGTCAGTGACACTGCATTACACCATATATTATATTGTGCACTCACTGGCCACAAACACCTGCCCTGTGCTTCCACTCACAAACACTTTAGTAGAAGCACCTACCTTGTACTTCCACTGACTGGCCACTTTATTAGAAACACCCAGCAATGGCTTCCACTCACTGCCCACTTTATTAGAAACACCCATCTTGTACTTCTGCTCACTGGCCACTTTATTAAAAACACCCAATGTGTGCTTCTGCTCATTGGTCACTTTCTTAGAAACACCTACCTTGTGCTCCACTAACTGGCCACTTTATTAGAAACACCCACCTTGTGCTTTCGCTCGCCGGCCACTTAATTAAAAACACCCACCTTATTAGTATGACTGCTCTTAAGTCTTAAATATGTTGTTGCACGGTTTATCAGCCCCCCTTTACACCATCCGTCATTGGTCATTTTCTGACCAGAGGACTGCTGTTGTCCAGATATTGTTTGGGTGGTGGTCCATTCTCAGCCCAGCAGTGATACTGACATGGTAGTGGTAGTGTTTGTGGTGCTGGTGTGTCCAGCCAAGAGCAGCTCCGTGGTCTGAAACTGACCATTGATGAAGGGCTACAGGATGATGAACTCCACAACAACAGTCTGTAACTGAACATCAGCAGAGTTAAGCTCCAGGGAAGATGTTTCTAATAAAGTGGCCGGTCAGCTCTTTATAATGCAGGCTTGTGTTGCTGTGATGCTTTTATGTGTGATGCAGATTGCAGTGGTGGAGACTCCTCCCAACCACAGCCACTGCTGTGGTTCTTAAATGTGTTTGTCAGTAGCTAACTTGCTGTAGGCTGAAAACATAACTTGCCAGGAAATGAAATATCATTGCAGTTTAGTCCATATTTCTTTACACTCAGGACTCATTTTGAGTGTCAGTAATGATCGGAAATGCTTGTCATATTAATAGTGTTTAAATTACCATTGTTTGTCTTTTAAAACCAGATTTAGACTGAGATTAATCCTGTACAATTACTCATGGCAACCTGTAATGTACAGCAACAAACAGCTCTCTTCCGCCACCTAGTGTTCATGACGAGCCACTGCATGGCACTTTTTACTGCAGGTCATCATTTCTCCAAGCGTATTAAAGATGGGACTGATACATGTTTTAAAGATAAACCACAGGATAAAAAACAGTGATAATCCTACTGTTTCAAATGTTAAAATCCAAACTCATTTACAATTACTGACTTTTAAAAAACACAGTTATAAACCCCACCCCTCCCTCTCCACTTTACGCTGAAAGAGTGCACCCAAATATCTAAATTTGACCACTGACACTGTTTTCTACTAAAGACGGCAAATAAGAGATGCGTGTAAGAGACCAATAAAAATGTATAAAATTTTTCAAAACTTCTTTGAAATTGTTTAGTAGGTGAGACATTCAGTGAAAAGGGTGCCGTCTGATGCAGTGAATAAGAAGCAAAATATTCTAAAACGTGTTTTAAATATCATCGCTGTCCAAAGAAAAGCATGCATCTCCATTTTTGTCGATTTTCATTTTTCTACATCATTTGAACTCGGCAGCTGTCCTTTAGATTGTGTATTTTAGTAATACGGCCGTAATACTGAACCATACTTATTAGATTTGATGATAGGAAATATTCATATCGTCTCATCTCTACACTGTATCTGCTTTTGCTTGACAGAAATGACTGGATAACCGTCGGCTTCTGCTACCCGAAAGGCACGAACTTCACCATCATCTCTGACCTTCACAACCGGCTCACGAAGGAGACGAGGAAGACCGGCGTGTTCATGAGAACCCTTCAGAGAGAGAAGATGAGCCACACGCACCAGGCGCGAGGTTATTATTACTGGGACGAGGACACTGGGTAAGAGCTGGTCAGCTCAGGGAGCCTGCTGCATGGAGATTGATGATGGCCAGTCTGTCAGTGCCATGTTGAAGAGTCAATTAATAAATCACAGTTAGGATCTTTTAAACACAACATAAAACAGTCAGGAACTTAATAATCATCTAGTACTGGTCAACAGTTTGGACACATCTGAATGAATGCATGTTTTGCATAGCTTTAAAGGGCCCATATTATGGCAAACTAGAATTTCCTCATTTTTTTAAATAAAAAAGTTTGTTAGAATTTCCCAGTCCATACAGTCCATACACGGAAATTAAGCTGCAAAAGCAGAATTCGTTGTTTTTGTGATGTCACAACTTTTTATAACACCCATATCCACACTCACTTTTGAATTCATCCTGGCTCTGATGTCACAACCATGAACACATATGCAGCAATTTAGCTCCACCTGTTCCTATTTTCAATGAGTTGTTTTTGTGATGTCACAAAACATTTAGCTCCATCCATTCATGTTTAAGTTATAAGGAGTGCCTCGGCTCAGGCTGCTTTTTGAATATAAACACAGTACATAGCAGCCAATCAGAACAGAACTCATTTACATGTATCAGTCTTAATGTAAGAAAAACAGCTAATTCTAGGGGAAGGAAAATGGTCGTGTAAAAATGAATTGCGGCTGTTGGTACATAAATCCACATAAACAATAGATGTGAACCTCAGAAATACAACGAGAATGATACTGGCCCTTTAAAGACATTTTGATCTAAAGGTTTATGTGCAAATGGTTGAAATTTGTTTTTAAGATGAATATAAACAGTGATGCGTATGCATTAATACATTTTTTCTCTGTTGTCTGATCTCTGGCTTTGTTTGTATAGGCTGCTCTTCCTCAGGGTCCAGGCACACAATGATAAGGATGATTTTGCCTTCTGCTCAGTGAAGGGCTGTGAAAGGATCAAGATTACGGCCAAAATCCCAAAAGGCAGCGGCCCCAGCGACTGCATGGAAGTGGCGTACCCCAAATATGCTGAAATGCCTGTGGTGGATGTGCCCATGCCCAAGAAACTGCCCCGCTCCAGATTGGTAAGAGGGTTTTAAGTATTGCTGTAGTATTTGCATATTATTACATAATAACATACAGAGCTGGGTGTTATTTTTGCTTGGTGGCCTAAATGTAAGATCATGATGCTTCAGATTTCACTATACAGAGTATGACACAGCATTTATTTTTTCTGGCATCTGATAGGTTGGAACAAACAGCGTAGTGCCACATACTGTAAAAAATGTAAATACTGGCCACTTTATTAGAAACACCTACCTTGTGCTTCCACTCACTGGCCACTTTATTAGAAACATCTACCTTGTACTTCCACTCACTGGCCACGTTATTAGAATCACCTACCTTGTAGGTATTGTAGGACATATTTTCTAAGTGAAAATACATTAACACATTCTCTACAGAATACACACTTAAATATGACATTAACTTTAATCTGACAAATATGACACATTTTAGTGCACAATTCCTATTTATTTGTTGAATTTTACATAATGGGAAAAAATTAAATATAACACATAGAATGTGCCAAGACTTTTGCACAGGATGAATGTTATGTTTTTATTTTTTTCCTCTACTATATTAAATTCAGCAAATAAACAGCTGTTGTGCATTAAAATGTGCAGAAGTGTGCTCGTTGAGGATGTGTTAACTTACTTTCACCGCCGTTTGACAATGGGTGCCCAAATTTTTGCATACAGTTGTAACTACAACTTCAGTGTTAAAAGCATTTTATGGATTTTCTGCTACTTTTCCCAGTTTCTCCCACATTTACTGCCTGCTTTTCCCTCATCGTGTGCACTTTTCAGACCAATGATAGTTATTGTAAAGTTGCTGTTTTAGTAGGAAATTTCTATTCAAATGTGACTCTCAGGAAATTCCTGAAACTATTCTCATTTCTCCTGCAGCCTCAAGCATCTGAGCACTTTCTGGAAATCAAGCTAGAGTCCTACAACACTCGCTTCTTCCACATAAAAGAGGACTTTGCCTATACAGAGGTACAAGGCACCACACTGTTATACTCACTGTTATAGTTGTGTAATGGAGTTCTGTATTAGCACAGCAAGTTATTAAAACCAGAGCCAGAGTTACCATTACTGCTACGGAGTGCTGATTGGGTGCCATTACTGCTACTGAGTGCTGATTGGTTAGCATTACTGCTACTGAGTGCTGATTGGTTGGCATTACTGCTACCGAGTGCTGATTGGTTTGACTTACTGTATTGATTGCTGATTGCATTACTGAGACTTAGTGCTGACTGGTTAAGAAAAGCAAGTATAAATATCTATTAATAAGGAGAATATTCTTCATACATCATCATCATCATTCATTAGTAAGCACCAGTTATTCTAATCAATTGTTTTTCATGAATTATTATTAATGCTGGGTTTTATGACTGTGTGGACCTTGACCCAAATGCATGCAGTGTTCAGCATCTATTGATTTTCATTAATCACAGTGGGTAAAAAAAGACGATTGCCTGTTGGTTGGTCCTGCAGGTCAATGGTAAGAAGATCTACCAATCAGAAGACGGCGTGCATGTGACAGTCCTGGATGGCCATACTGGCAAAGTGCTGGACACGAAAGGTTTCAGGAACGCTGTGCTGATGGGCATCCCGGCTCAGATCGAGAACTACATCAACAGCCTAAAAGACGAGTGAGCACAAGACCTAGCTTACTGCCATGGTTAATAGAGAAAAGGACTTAAATAAGAGGAACACACACATTTTGCGTTCTTTGTCTCTCACTCTGTTGAATGGTACAGTGGTAAATAATTCTGTATCATGTATTATTGTTTTAAACACATTAGAAACATTTTGATCTGTACTCAGTTCAAATCTGAATTTCAATATATGTTTAATACATTTCATATATCGTCACTGGTCAGGACAAAACCTTGTATCTCCATGTTTTTTTCTGAATGGACTACTGATCCATAGATTACTTGCTCCAAAATTACTTAGAAACAGTGTGGTTTCATTGTCACCCATTCAAAGTTAACAAGGTTTTTCCTTGTCCTGTAAAGTCACCTTTTTGGAGATACATCCTGTTAAACATATATATCACCGCTTTCATGACAAAACCTTGCCGTTTTTGCCATTTTTTAGTTTTTGACATAATTTGAAAATGTCTGTTGGCCTTTATTATGTATAAATTTCATCATGAATAGACCAGAAAAATGGCCAAAAATGACTTGGAAAAAAGTCTGGTTCCACTGACTTACATTAAAATTAAAGCAAGTTTTTCCTTCTCCTGTAAAGTTACTATTTCAGAGATATGAGGTTTTGCTCCGTCAACATTGCGTAGAATGAAATGTTATGTTTTGATATATATTATATAATAACTGACAGCAACCTCTTTGTCATTCTTTGCCACTTGCACTTTCAGGTCAATAGTGATGATCACCTCCAAGGGCAAGCTGGTCACAAGGGGGCCTTGGACCAAAATACTTGAAAAACTGGGTGCAGAGCAGAATGTGAAATTGAAAGGTAACGAACAGCACAAGACTGTTGTTCTATTGTTCTGTATTATTTTCTAAGAACAAGCAATATAAGTGGACATAGCACACTAAATTAGTTTCTCAGTGCATTATCAGGAGTGCTGATATAGCTCTTATCAGTTATTTAAAATAAGCATACAATCACCAAAACAAGCACTGTAAACTGTTCTGATTGACTGTGCATACTGACAAAATACTAATCATTTTAAGTCAACTCAGGATTTCACTCAAAAATATAGCTTATCAATGATCCAGCAAAAACTCATCAGAAAATCTGACTTGCACATTATACATTTTGTTTGTTGTTTAGAATGATGTAAACGTATTGGATTTCTTTAAGCCATGTTTGTCCAGAACACTTTGCATGATTAAATAGTTCTTTGCATTGTGAAAATGCTCTTCAAATTGTTGGAGAATGTCCTGTAGATGTTGTGAAAAGAGTTCTATATAGCACCAAAAAGTGTTCTTCTATTGTAACAAGCCTGACATCTTAACAATAAAACAACACCTTTTGGTGCTATATAGACCTACAGCACATTCTCCACCAATTTGAAGAACCTTTTCATGATGCAAAGAACCCTTTAACCAGGCAACCATTATTTTTACTGAAGAACTCATGAAGAACCATCATTTGTAATTGTGTAATGTTAAAAATAGCACTTAACAGGTCTGCTGCATGTGACCAGTGTAGACAATAGGGGGCAGAAAAGCTTTACTTTTTTTGATCATTTGTGTTTTGATTGAGGCCGTTAGCACAGTACTAAACCTGATCTCAAGTAAACATATTACTTCAGTGAAATAATGTCTTTTGTGTAAGTAAAAGAACCGTTTCAAAAACACTGAGTAAATTTGTTAGATCCAAAAACTCATGTAGTACTGAGTAAGTAATAGAAGTGCACTGGAACTTCCAGCATCTGCCAGCACTGGAAGTGTAGTTTGTATGACTCACTTTTTGGATCCTTTTGGTGTAAAATAAAATGCTAAAGCTCCAAAGTGAGAGGAGTGATCAGCAGTAAAGCAGAACAGGAGCTGAACCAACACAACAGAATGACATTAAACACTGAAAAAAAGAGAACTAGGAACTCAATGTGAAGCACTAAACTACTGGAACCCTTGTCTATTCTACTCATGAATATACTCGAGTAGAAGTGAAAGTCTCACAATTTGAGAATACAGTAGTATAAGCCTATCAAAACTGTACTTAAGTAAGCATAAATGACTAATTAGATTAAGAGTGTTATCCTTATGGCCTTACTATTAACATTATTACTGCTAATCTTAGTGCCTTTATAAATAGCCATTGTACTGCTTTTGTATCACTTTACTGAACATTAATTACACATAGCACGATCACTGGTGTGCACAGTGTAGGAGATGCACTACTCTCTGTGATACTTACGGAGGTTGTTTTGTAGAATAGCTGTGATAAATATCACATAAAACTTTGGAATTTTTCATCATAAACTCTCCCTCTTGGACAGCTGAGCGGTCAGTACGTGAAGGAAAAATGCCGCACATGTGTGCGAAAGGGAGGAATGCGCATATGCATACACACATGCCGGAGCAGCAGGGTCCTTCCTCCGGCCCCTCCCTTCACATACTATTTTCACATATTACTGTCATTCCCCACGGCCACTTTAGAGAGAAAGTCTTCTCACAATTCAGACTCCTACATGCCGGTAAATGTGATCTGATCTACATTTATGGCATAGAAAAAATTATTTCAATTCAATTAAATAATGTCTTATACTGCTACACATTGCAACTGCAGTACGCCTTTTAAAAGTGCATTGGCCCTTATTCATCAGAGTGGAATAAAAAAGAGTTATTGGTGCCACAGAGCATGATAGATAGAAAACCTTGGTCCGTGTACATTTTTAGCATGTCTGCCTCAGATCACGTCTCAGCAGTGCAGTGAGGTTGAGGTCAGGACTCTGTAACTGACTGCCTTAGAGAGAATGAAGCCTTCAATTCAAGACGTTCTGGGACATCATGCACACAGCTGGATCAAACGCCGTCTCACCGCACAGCAAAGCTCACTTTAGCTCTTTAAGACACAAGAAACCACACACAGGAAGAAGCAAACTGAATCAACGGTTTGTCTTAACATACACACAAAGGTGCCACATAATTTCAGCGTCTTTGTGGCGCTGCAGGTGTTTTTATTTCTTGTTATTAATATTATTAATTTGTTTATTCAGTGTACTTTTAACTAGTAAACAATGTAATAGAACCTTTTCAAATTATATGATGCACTGAAACTTGGCGCAATGTTGATTTTCCACTAGGTAGTACAGGGTGCATGGTCCAGTATGGTGTGCTTCCAAATCCAAAATGAGAACTATCCGTACCCTGCTTGGGTGCCTGTGTTCGTTTCCCAGCACATAACAGAACTGTGAACTTCCCTTTAGCTTGTGTGGTTGTGATTTCTTACGCAAACCTAGCATTAACAGTAAACACAAACAACATCTGCATTACTAAAAGTAATTACTGTAAGTAATAAATACATTCTGAAAAACTCATTTTGTCCACTCCCACAGCTATAACAAAATGCACTGCTTTTAAAATGAACCTAAGGCCCAATCCCATTTCCTACTTCTACCCCGACCCCTTGTTTTCGAGTGTTGCCCCTTGCCCCTTGGAACTGAGTTAGAAGGTAGTGGTTGATATCTTCCCGTATGAAATAGAACAACCTTCAAATAAAAAAGAACATTACTTCATTAACAGGCTACTAGCGCTGCTCTGTAGCCCTGCCAGTCTGCAGTGATAGCAGAGGAGGGTAAAGTTCAGCAACCCCACTGCTGGGGGGGCAATTATTTATTATTGCCCACCTCTAATTCTTCAGTGATATCAAGCATAAGTCAGCTATTCGCCAGCTTTTTGTTCAAATTTTCCTGTTCCATCTTAAGCAGCAGTTACATTCTGGTGCTTCAGGCATCAGAACTGCTGAACTATTTAGCTTAATTTAGGGAAATTTAGCTAGCTAGCTACTGAGACATTAGCATACTATTAGTGATTTTTATGCTTTTTATGAAGAAAAGGACCATAATACATTGAAATGATTGGTTATCATAATTTTTAAAGAAAATTCTCTCATTTGTGGGTTTCTTTGGTCACTTGTGCAGCCATCTTGCCGGTTTTTCTTTTATTCTCATAACACTCTGTTTGGAGTGTGTCTCTGAAAAACCTCCATTTAGAGGGCCATGTAGCCCTAACACTTCACCCTACCCCTCTATCTCAACAAAAACCTAGACAGCCTACCCCTAGATGTGAACGCGCAAAACAGAGGGCTAAAGGCTAAGTGTTGGGGACGAGGGGTGAAACAGGATTGGGCCTAAATCTTTCAAAAAAGTATAAAAATAATGCAATTAATTGTTCAGCCGTGCTCATCTTCTCTTCTGTTTTTTTCTCCAGATAAACTGGCCTTCGTGGGCTTCAAAGGCAGTTTCCGGCCCGACTGGGTTCGACTGGCTGTGGATGAGGAGCGAGCGAAGCTGCACCAGGTGCTGCCCATGCCCATAGTGAGGGTGATGAAGCTCTGAGAGAGACGAAGCTCGTCCCTGGACTTTCTCTCTTTCTCTCGCGGACTCTCACTAAAGCATCACTGCCCACTGCCGGAGCGGAGCGGAGGCGCTCGGGCCCCGGCCGCGCCCGCACAGCCACACAGCAGAATCTACAGCGTTACATGAACACCTACAGGGTTCGTTTAAAGGGATACTCCAGCATTTGTCAATGTCGTTTCTACTTGCTGCATCTGTATGTAAAATGGACAATAATAACTTAAAAGCACCAAAAAACACAGAAAACTGAAAACGTATAGTAGACGTCATTGTGCAGTTTGTGCTTTTAGAACATCTTCATGAATTCTAGTTAAAGGTGTTGGTAAAGTAGGCTGTAATCTGTATGATATATAGAGATGCAACGATATGGGAATTCCAGGCCAATGCCAATATCCGATATTTTTCATGCATACCTGCCGATACTAATGCTGATACATAAACATTAATAAAAGGCAGAAGTTTTTAGTATAGTAACCCAGCGTCACCTAAGTGTTCTGCTCTTACGGAGTACAATAATGACATCAAATATCGGCTTGAAACATCAATCAAATTTAAACATCTGTACAGAAGTCCAGAGAGGCCGTAAGCTCTTGCTATAATTTTCTGGTGTGTTATCTTGTGATAACAAGTTAAATTTCTTAAGTTAACAACTTTGTTATCTTGAGATCACAGTATAATTAACTCATATAAAGATAACAACTTTGTTATCTTGCGCTCTAACAACTTTGTTATCTTGAGATCACAAGATACTTAACTCATTACCTCAAGATAACAATTTTTGTTATCTTGAGATCTTACAACTTTGTTATTTTGAGATCACAAGATAATTAACTTGTCTCAAGATAGCAACTTTGTTATCTTGAGATCGTGAGATCTAATAACTTTGTTAACTTGAGATCACAAGATAATTAACTCGTCTCAAGATAACAACTTTGTTATCTTGAGATCGTGAGATCTAACAACTTTTTATTTTGAGATCACAAGATAATTAACTCGTTTACTCAAGAAAACAATCCGGAAAATTACAACTACCTCATGACCTCTCTGGACTTCTGTACATCTGCCCAATTCTGATATCTTTTTAAAAGCAATATGATTGTGATATCATCGTGCATCCCTGATGACATCATCTGTTACTTCCTGATATGGGAGTTTTCCAGAGGGGAAAGTTTTGAGGTAATTTGTTATCACTTTAGCAGTTAGGCGGGGTTTTCACAAGTTCCGTCTGATCACCATGGAGACGGATGCAAAAGTATGAATCAGATTACATGTTTTGTTGATTTTCTTAGTGAAAATAAGCCATCATTTACAGGGACCAGATGTAAATATGACATATTTCTGCAAATTGTAGTGCGCAATTTCTATTTATTTGCTGAGTTTGAGGTATTAGTGCAATTAAAAAACTTTTGCAGAGGCCACATTTTATGTTTTATTTTTTCCCGCAATATGTTAAATTCAGCACATAAACAGTAACTTTGCATTAAAATGTGTGTACGTTGTAGAGGATGTGTACTTATTTAAATCAAAAACATGTCAGTTGGCCCTAACATTTGCATATATATGCATAGCTTCAAATTCGCATTATATGGTCATGGATTGGAAACATTTGTAAATTTAGTAACTGGCCATAGCCTTCTATTGTAAGTGAATATGAGTGAGCAGTTTTTTTGTTCTTTTCTGAGTACAGGGAGCCACATTGAAATTATTGTCTGTGGTAATCAATGCTATGAGACAGATGTGGCAGATAGAGATCAATTTGAAAAATACTGAAGTGTCCCTTTAAGTTCAGCTGGACCCAAATAAGTTAACTGAGTACTGGAGGTTTTGCTGTGTAAGGACTACTGAACTCCAACCTGCCTATTCAAACCCAAGCATGCGTTCGTGTCGCCTTTTCTTCAGCTCCCTTTCCCACCCGGATCGATGTACAATGTCAGTGTACGTGATAATGTGGATGTTACGTGATTTTTCTTTTTTTTCCCCTTTTTTTTCTGTGTCGTCAGTGTGAATATACATTCTACTGCTTTGGAGAGAGAAAAAAAAAAAACAAAGAAGAAAACCCAACGTGCAACATTCCCTGTTTTATCCTCCCCTCTCTGTGCTATTTGCCTCCTCGTCATTCCAAAAAATGTATGTAATTTCTTTTTCTATCCTGTAAAAAAAAAAGTTTGTAAAGATTGTAAATGTTGTGCGGTTTCGCCATTTAATTATCGCATACCAGAATTTGTGGTCAGTTTGTTTGTGTTGTAGCATACAAGAGAACCAGCAGGGGAAGAGAAAAAAAGGCCTTCGGGCTCAAAATGAACAGTTGCAAAGAGAAAAAAGGAGCTTGTAGGAGAGCTTATGCAACCTCAGTGCCCCCAAAACTACATGAGACGAAACAGCTACAGTAAACGTGGGTTTAAACCGGTGAAAGGATCTGGCAACCTGTATTCCATCCGGCAAGGAGCACAAACATGCCGAAATAGCTGGTCTTTTTTCGGAGATTGTACTTTGTTAGTGATTTGTATGTTTTATGTGTTTCTAAAATCCTCAGATTGATAACAGAGATATATTTTATACTTATTTATTGTACAGGCACTATTGAAACAAATCTAGAAGGGACGTCCTTTTAAGTTGTAATGTATTTCTGTCCTATCTGTAAAAAAAAAAACAATGATCTGTTATAAAGTTTTAAGTTCCAACTTTTCTTGTATCATTGCAAATTTACATACATTAACCTTTGAGTTGTACATTGATGTGATGTAAATGTGACGGATTTTAAAGTAATGGAAACGTATTGCTTTTGATCAAAACTTTTTGTACAGAAATAAATGACGAAGATACACGTCCTGTTTCTGTTTCGTATTATTTTGTTCTGTTGACAGTTTCAGTGACCAACTGCCCAAATTTCATGGCTTAGTATGAGTATATGGACTTCTGAGAAGTCAAATATTTTATATTGAGGCTCAGTAATATAAAATACCATTATTAGATGTCATATTTCTGCCTTATGGTCTGTGAAGCCTAAAAAATTTGCCTGTTTAAAAGTCCAGATGGATGGACAGATGGAGACAAATAGATGGACGGATAGAAAGAGACAGATTGATGGACAGATGATCTCTTGATGGACGGACAGACAGACAGAGATGGATACAGACAAGCAGACAGACAGACAGACGGACGGACGGACGGACGGATAGATGGATGGATGGATGGACAGACAGATACAGATAGCTAGCTAGCTAGATAGACAGACAGACAGACAGAAGGAGACAGATAGATAGATAGATAGATAGATAGATAGACAGGCAGATGGATATAGATACAGACAGACATGCAGACACATATATAGATAGATATATAGATAGATAGATAGACAGACAGTCAGACAGGTAGATAGCTAGATAGACAGACAGACAGATAGATAGACAGACAGACAGACAGGTAGATAGATGGTCAGAAACTGACAAATGATGGATGTTGTAGAGAGGAATAATACATATATAGATAGATAGATAGATAGATAGATAGATGGTCGGACGGATAGACAGACAGACAGCTATAGATACAGACAGACATTCAGACAGATAGATAGATAGATAGATAGATAGATAGATATATAGATAGATAGATAGATAGATAGATAGACAGACAGACAGACAGACAGACAGACAGGTAGAATAACAGGCAGGATGTTTACTGACCCAGTTCCCACCACGCTAAACCATTGCATTACATTACATTACACATGCAGTGAGACGTCAAAGCAGTTAAGCTTCAGGACACTATCACTTTTGAAATGAGGCAGAAATTGGAGGTGATTTAGTAAACTGGCCGTTACACTGAGAGCATGTTTCTGTTTCTGTACTGTGGGTGTGGTTCCTCTGCCCGTTAGAAATCTTTGTGGAATGTTGTACTCCCTGACACAAGTAGCGGAAGCGAGCTTAGTCCTGACCATGAACCAGGCTATAGCTTTTGTGGCGCCAGTGCTGCAGCCAGGCCAGAGACACTGACAGTGTTGCACATGTAAAACCAGGTGGTGGTTATTTTAAGTGAGAAGTATTTTAATTATAATGTAGGTGAAGAAGAAAGATTCTTGGACATTTGAGGAACCCATATTCTACATTTTTCTTGCATTTTATTTTTTCCCCAGTGGTCAACCTATGATGCAATATTCACTTTGACATGTCAAATTCCCTTAGAAACAAACTTTTGTTGATGTTAAGACTGATTTATGTAAATGAGCTCTGCTCTGATAGGCTGCCCTGTATTATGCTTCATGTAAATACAACTAACAACGACATGAAATAATAACAACTGTTAAACTCGGGATTCTAGATAATACACAAGTTTACAAGATGTGATGTATAATGCAAACTTTCACCTCTTCTGTCATTAAAAAAGTTATAAACTTGGCGGTGAGATCACTTAAAGGGGTCATTCTGACCCTCAAACTACTGCTGAATATGTTATTTGTTGAGTTATGTAGTATTCTATAGCGCAGCATTGCATCCCTCAGCCTCATCAGATTGACAGAATTCACAGTTTTGTACTGTTCGCATGTTTTCATACATCAATGTTCTCGCACTACAATACCCAGTATGCATTACACAAATATATCATACAACTGATCTGTGGTGTCAACCAATTCAATTATAAGCTTAGATACCATAGATATACATACCTAGATGCCGCATTGCCTGTTGTTCTCTATGTGAGGCGATATGTCTGTGCGTCCGTCATGTTGGAGCGGTCAAGAGCTGCTTGTGAACAAAATCAATTGTATTGAGAGATGATGAGTCTCAGGATTAAATCGGCCTCAACTTCCTTATTACTCAACCGATTTTCACCAAATTTGTTTTGCTATCATCCTCAGACATAGATTTATCTAGGCTGCATGGACTGCTATCGGTAGCTTATATTTCTTTAATAACTGATCATGCTAATTAGCAGGAAAGTATTCAGTCTGCACCTGACGTTAACAAGACGTAAACCGAGTTTAGCGCTCCAGTAGAAACACAATCTCACACACATCAGCAAATCCAAAAATGTGTGAATCACTTCTAATCTTAATGCACATCAAAATAAAATAAACCCCCCAATACACAACAAGAAGGATAAAGCTGAATTTGGCTTTCTATTTGCCAGCTTCTTGCTCGAATTTTCTAGTTCCACCTTAAATGGTGCAGCAGTCACTTTCTGGTGCCTGAAGTTGCACCATTCAAGGGGGAACGGGAAAATTTAAACAAGAAGCTGGCAAATAAGAAGTTGACTTCAACTTCATGTGAGAAGGTGCTGACGTAAATCTATCATGAATATCTACACGGATTAAGGAATGCTATAACTTACCTAGCTATAAAGCATTACCCATCATTGTACTTAAATAACTACTACATCAAGTTTAGATCCCCTGAATAGACTATTAAATGAAATAGGCTTAATATAAAACCAGAGGAAAAACAATCACATCAACAGGTTCTCTGTGCATCACCAACCACACAGTCATATCTACACATAAACATCACACAAACGTCCCGCCCCTATCCCGTTTTCTGAGTACAATCTTCTTGAAATAGTATAATTTTGGGCAATATCTTTCTTAAACTGCCACTCTTTAATGGTACTGAATGCAGTCCAGCTGTGACGTTGACCGCCCCAAAATGGCAGTGCCGGTGACGTGCCTGAAAGGACTCAACGCGCCATCTAGTATGTATATCTATGGCTAATACATACAACCAAACTAGCATTAGTGTAGTGTATGTACCTCAGTTATTAGACAAAATTGTAAAGAAAACAGTTTAGAAAGAAAGATAGATGTGAGTAATGCATTCTGTCCATTTAAGTTATTATACAGCTACACTTACATAGTCGTTAGCTATCTGCCTTCCTTCTGTGTTCACCTGAAAAATAAAAAATTCAAAACATCCCACCACAAAAACCCAAAGCTGTCATATGTACCTCCCACTTTTAACATGCATAATCAGGGGGAGATTTGGCCAGTCTTTAAAATCAGAAACTCTCATTCTATCGACTACTGTCTAAGCATGTAAGCATGTTTGCAACAGCTAGAAAAAACGGCATAGTCTAGCATGGTTGATCACCAGCAAAAGCAGCATATGTTGTGTTTTGGATGCTGGTATGCTGGTCAACCAGAATAACCATGCTAAGTAACCACTAAACCAGCACCACACCAGCTTAGACCAGCATGGAATTCATATCAACAGGGCAGATAAAAACATATTTCTTTAGCCTAGCATATGCATAGACGTGTTGTAGCCCATGTTCTGCTGTTTGTAACTGAGCTTGGAATTAAAGACCATTTAAATAACAATTTATGTAACATTACATTATGTAGTGAAGGTTACATTTCTGGCCAGAGTGTGCTTTTAACACAAATGTAAGTAGTTTGCACAATGCTAATGTTAGCTACACTAGCCTCATACCTCCAGCGCAACACTAAAGGGTGAAATGTGATTGTTTTGATTTAATATCCCCAAGGAAGGCAGAAAGTAACAGATGATGGATGAATCCATTAGTTTCTCTCGTTGTTGTGACAGGCCTCTCTCTGTTGAGTCCTTCACTCTGTCTGGCTCTTCTGAGCTCATTCCTCCGCAGCATCCAGGTGGATTTCGGCCACATTCGTAATGTTTGGATTTAATCTCTTTTGAGCCCGTATTTCAGGTCTCCAACAACCTTTTACTTACAACATTGTTTAAGCAAAGCTCCAAGTTTCATTCTGGCCTTCACATCCTTCTTGATCCCCAAAGCCTCCCTGCATCTCAAAACATGTCAGAGTGGGTCTCCCGCCACAGATTAAACATGATAGCGGTGAACGCTATCGTCAATACAGATAAAGTATGGCTGCCTTTTTATATACACACCACTGTAGGTATCAGATAACGTTTATTCCTTCGCAGCTTTCAAGCTGGAAGAGTTCTCACACCAGGTAGGGAGTAGGGAGACATTTTATGTATAGCAATACTGAGGAAAGAGCATTAGCTTCTCCACAGAGTATTTTTCTCTGAAGTTCAAACTGTGTAATGCAATGGTTCAGCCAAAAATCAAATTTATATAGGTCCCTCTTTAACCAAAATACAGTCAGTCATCCAAGACATATTTGGGGAGTGAGGTTTACTCTCTTCTTTTTGGTTTTGCACTGGAGCTACAAAGCTAATGAGCTAGGTAATGGAGGCTACACCACAAATTAGCATTGTTCAAACTGCCAGCCTGACTTTGAGTTTGTCTTGGCTCGAACGTGGAAAGTCAGAGCTTGCAATTGTTTTCAATTTTTACACATACGGGCTACAAAGTGTGAAAAACAGGGACACTACATGAAGTGAGCATTTCTAGCAACAAGCTAGCCAGCTAACATTAATGTTGAGTGACAAGTAACAAGCCACCAGCACGTCAGCGTCACTGCAGTGCTGAGAATGACCCACCACCTGAATAACACCTGCTCTGTGGGGATCCTGACCACTGAAGCACAGGGTGAAAGGAGGCTAACAGTCTGTAACTGTCTACAAAGTGCTCCTGTATGGTAAGTCGAGCTGATAAAATGGACAATGAGTGTAGAAACAGGAAGGTGGCTTTAATGTTATGGTCGATCGGTGTAAGTAATCTCAGTAGACTTGCTTAGGTGGTTTCTGAAACGAAAACGGTTGCTATAGCTGCCAACACAAGTAGCTATATTCTCTGTGTAGCAGCAGTGCAAATGTTGATTCTTGGCCCAACCTTTACCAATCTACAGCCTCCCCTGACCTAATGCTTTCACTGAAACTTTCATAGTAATGTGTTATATAGTTGCTCTGAATATTCCAGTCACTTTTCAGGCCACATTTTCATATATCAGCAGGCTGCTGATGCACAAAATTACATGAACATGAAATGCAAAAACACGCAGCTTTACTGTAATATCCACAGGCCCTTTCAAAACGTGGAGATATCAGTGAACCATGTAATTGCTAGCTGGCAGACACGTGTACCAAACGACGTCTATTACACTTGAACCACAGAGGAACTTTGGGTCAATGTAGAGCTCAGATCAGCACACCGAGGGCAAAAGCTGTGTAGTGTTCTATCTGAAGCAAAGTATCTAATTTTACTTAGAGAAATGATTCTGGGCCAAAGATAAAAATGTATGGAAGCACAATTCCTTTGGGTAGAGGAGGTTTTTTTTTAATAGGCCCACATGTTTTTCTCTCTTTTTTTCCACCTACTTTGTTTCTGGCAGCTATATGTCAAATTTCTGACTTATTATTTTGAAAAAAATGACTTATTTTCTGAAAAAAGCAACTTATCTCAAAATTACTTCTTCTTCAAACATACTGAATACTTAGTACCTTGGAAATATATCTGGAAATATTTTATTACCTGGAAATTACTTATTTTCTCAAAATATTGATGTAGCATGTCAAAATAATGAATTTGTATACTGAAATTATTGCTTACTTCCCTTAGAAGTTAATTGGCTAATTATTTTGTCATAGTGTCTCGAGATTTGAAGAAATCCACATTGTTATTTCAAGACACTAGATCAATATTTTGAGCAAGTGTGCCACTATTTAGAGATATTAGGTCAATATTTTGAGAAAATAAGACGTTTTAGATGAGGATGTTTTAGAGGCGGGGCAAAAGTCATTATTGAGTTACATTCCATGCAAATGTAAAGTAAACTAAAGAAAGCCTGAATGAGTTAATTACAAAATTGTTTTATTCTTCTCACTCCAAAGGCAATACTGTGAGGAAATTAAACATTTTACAGTTGCAAGTTGAGTGATATATATAAAAAAAAAAAAGAAAAAGATTGTGAAGGCCTTAATTGTAATTTCCTTAATCTTGATTGACTATGTACCATTTATGTGAGTAAAATATCAAAGAAACTTTGATTTTAATGACATTTTTCCTTTTTTAATTAATCAAGCTGTGTAATGCTTGAGTGAGGATTGGCAATCGTGGAACAAAAATAACATGACTAAAGAGTAACCTGACTACTCCATTCTAGGATTTTGAAGCGAACACCTTCTGGAACGAAAGAAAATGACTCATAAAGCAGTACCCTGGTAACAGTGGCTCATACTAGAGTCGAAAACAAAACACTAAACCTCTGAAGTTAGTGTCAAACACCTTGGCTGGATACTTCTTCTCTCCATGTAGTCTCTGATTAGGGCTTTCTCCTGCCCCTCTCCAGCTCCTGCTCCAGAAACCTCGCTAAAGTCAGGTGTCTTATAGCTCCTGTTTGCTTTTACTTGCTCGGTTGGCTGCTTTCTTGTCTTTCTTCTTCTTGGTGTCATTCTGTTCTTTTTCCTTGCTGTCCTTTTTGGCCGCTTTCCCGGGATACACTTGCCCCTCCACGGTGACGTCCTCACAGCGGTCCTGGTTGATAAGGAAGTCTTTAATCTCCCACGCGTAACTGCCATCACGCAGCATGAAGATGACGCGGTTGGAGCCCACCACAAACCTGCACAGAGGAGGGGAAAGGCAATAAAGTCAACCTAAAATCTAAATTGACCTTTTTTACCTCGTTAGTTCAGGAACTTTCTCACGATCCATCATATCAGACCCTCCCTGATTCCAGATGTATGGCATGGTATGGAAGGAAAATGCGGTTCCGATTCCTGTTCAAGGAACTGTTAAGCCAGTCAGCGTTATGGAAATGACATCATGACTATTAACTTCTGGCCACATTAGCATGTTTGGTCAAGCTATTTTTTCCCCTTAATAGAATCACAAATAACTGCAAAAAGATTCAGAGTCTGTTATGGGACTGTAAATATTTTCATACCACATTTATTTTTGTCTAAGCCATGTTTTATTTTTCTTGTAATTCTTCTTTGCCTTGCTAATAATGACAATATTAATATTAATATTAATTTACTGTGAATTAATATTGGGTTTTTTTTATCTGGAAATCTAGCTAATTTCTATGTCAAATTATTGAACATTTGTGAAGAGATTCAGATTTCATCATCAGTCACACGGAGCATTATCATTTAATTTACTGCAACGCAGGAGTGTATAAAAAAAACATTTTTCTGAGGTCAACGTTCAATTTTCTCGATTTTTGCAATTATCTTTTAAAGGCTCTTGCATAAAACATGATCCCCTTATGTTTTATATTAAAATGCCCCGTTATCTTCACCACTACTTTCCAAAACGGCTGCAGCAACTTCAGCAGCTCTAAACTCTCTGCACGCCATTTCACATGTGTCTCCGATGTGGACTGAATGAAGAATGAAGGGTTTCTGGCGTGACAGGACAGACCTTAGTGATTTCCTGAGTGTCCATCGGTAAGTTTCACACAAAATGTAGATGGACACACAAATCCACCAGTTCCACACAGTGAGAGGCAGATGACATGTACCGCTCTTTATAGCCTCATAACTCCGGATGTGAGTCACATATGATCTCGTGATAAGATGGAATGGAAAGGGTGACTCTACAGACTGAACCATATTTCTGCGCTGGATTATCATAAAGATACATGAACAAACATAGAAACATCAAATTGGACCCTAGAGGGATAATGGGTAAAAACATGCCGGTTCTAATTACATACTCAGCAAAATACAATTCCAAAAATAGGATGCACCCAGATGCCTTGCTTAGATCACTGAAAGCAGTTTCCAAAAAAAATATATCAGTAAATAAAATTATAACGATAATATTTATGTGAAAGTTTGGAATAACTAAAGATCAGCCCACGTCTCAAGAGGAGAACAAACGCGTGAATACTAGTCCAATAAGTCTTACACTAAAAGTTAAATTAAGTCAGTGAAAGCTGAACTGAACTGTAAAATGGCACCTCTGAACATCAAAGTTGGCGTTGAAGAGGCTTCCTTGCCACAGGCTGGTAATCTCTTCCGTCTCCTTCTCCGTAGGATTTCCAGACACGGATGCAAACACCATCAAGGTCCTCCCTTTCTTGGACATCTTCAGGAGCTCCTCAGGTTTGGACGGGTCCACTTTAGAGAAGTCAATTGGAGGTGGGGATCTTTTATGCTCCGGCAGATCGCCCTCCTCAATCTCATCATCCTTCTGTAAACGGAAAGTGTGCAAACAAACAAGAGACAATAGAGATAAACAATTACAGTTAACACTTCTTTACAGCCTTTAGGGTCATGTTCCTAATACTGAGAACTATAGAAAATGACCAGCAAATGGTGACTGGCCACCTTTGGGTGCTATATAGAACTCTTTTCAAAAAGGTTTTATATAGAACCATAGAACATTCGTGCACATTTTGCAGCAATCTAAAGAACCCTTTAATGACGCAAAGAACCCTTTAATCATGCAAAGGGTTTATTGAGTGTTCATGGTCCTTTATACAACCATTTTCTTTACTAAAGAACCCTTGGCTGGCCATCTTTTTAAAGAGTGATCGTAACAATAGAAGAATCTTTTTTGGTGCTATATGGAACCATTTTCAGAAAGATCCTATACAGAACCATATACAACACATTTGCATCAAGCTGAAGAACGATTTCACCATGCAAAGAACCATTTAAGTGTGAAATGGTTACATACAAAACTCATGGTTCTCAACAGAAGCCTTGAAGAACCATCTTTTTTAAGAGTGACCTTTAAAGAAGGTTATTTTTGAAAGATATAATTCTACACAATTCCCCCTCAAATGGTAAAAACCAATACCTTTATTTATAGGGCTACATAATGTGCTGCTTGCATGGAGGCACACAAACCATTACTGCAGCTCAGTCTAAAAATAGGCTGGTATTTTAATCAGACATGTAAAGGCCAATGGATAAGACTGTTATGTGGGTTGAAAAACAAACATATAAACTTACAAAGAGATTTATAAAGATAAATTGAAAGGCAGACAAACAGATAGACAGGCACCAGCTTCTTATTCGAATTTCCGGTTCCACCTTAAATGGTGCAGCAGTTACATGTTACATGAATGTAATTGCTGCACCATTTAAGGTGGAACGGAAAATTCGAATAAAAAGCTGGTGAATAATTAGTCAACGTCAGCTTAACACAAGTAAAACACATGGTACGCTCACTAAAACTTTACATTACTGTAACAAGTAAGCTATAACTAACCGCTGAACACTAGCAATTGTAAAAAAATAGGTTTTATCTGGACCTTTACGCTATCTGTTTGCTGAAGTTAACGTTTTAAAAACGCGGCTTGCTGTTTGCTCACCTCCCACTCCTCCAGCAGTCTGGCCATGTCTGCATCATTATAATCCCGAATATCTTTCTTCTTTTTAGGTTTGGTGTCTGTACAGTCCGTTACTGTAACAAACACTGAAATAATACAAACAGAAATAAACAGAAACAACGCAGTCTTCCTCCAGCCGCTGGGAGCCGCCATGATTCTACCTGGAGCTTTCTGATTGGCGGAGGGCTTCACGACGTCAGAGCTTAGGAAAAGGGCCCTGACGTCACCTTGCAAAAATAAATATATAAATGATTTAAAAATAAGTTGTATTTAAATATGAAATATGAAATGAATAAGAAGTAAGCATTTTTAATAATCTTACATTTTAATAATTTAAATGTGAACGTGACGTCACATCATAGATAAAAAATGCAACATAAAAAGATTTTTGTCATTTATATTGAATGACTTAAATGTGATTGTTATAAAGAGGAAGAAAGAAAAAGACTTTTAATGTAGATTTTTTGTTCTTCTGTGAGAAAATCAAAATTTAAAATAAAAAATAAAAAATAACGACATAAAAGTAGACAGCTTAATTATGTGAATGGAAATGCAAAATAATAATAATAATAATAATAATAATAATAATAATAATAATAATTATTATTATTATTATTATTATTATTATTATTATTGTTGTTGTTGTTATTATTATTATTATTATTATTATTATATGTTATGGACATTACACATAGGTCCTTCTCTGTGGAAGAAGGGTGCTTTTCTCATATTTAATATTTCCCTTTTGAAACATTTGTGAGTATCTATGCACCAAAAACAGTCATAATTCATTTTTACTTCAATATTTTCCAATATTTTTTACCTCTCAGAAGTAAACAGGGTATTTCTCTTCAGGCTAGTTTTTTTATATTGGCTAAATGGACTGGGCAGTGAGTGATATGGTTAGATACGATGTCAAACTCTTATTTCAGAAATGTGAGAACAGTTTGGTTTAACGTGATATCGACCCTTTAAGTTAAAACTGAAAAGACAGCCTCGCTTTTACAACCTCACCCCAACACTAAGGCCATTACACCTGTACTCTCTGAGCATGAATACTGTTCAGTACAGTTCTATAAGGGTGCTGAATTATTTTGGGCTCTCTCAGCTTCACTTCAGTGAACGCCCCCTCCCTCCCAAAGTGCCTCTGCCTGCATGGGAAGCGCACAAAGTGTGAGGCTCATTCAACAGAATCGGAACTGTTTCCTCTCAGGACACTCCACCCAAATGGCACCGTGCCCTGCACAGCTGTACAACTGACAAAGCAGAACTTGTGGCCCCGACGCACACTGCAGAAAGCCCCCCCCCCACTCTCCCTACACTCAGGCCCAGCCCAGTTTATAACTGTTTGCAAGTGTTTAGACTAATCCAGTGACTGTATTTTTTAAACTGTACTGTTCCGTTAACTGTCGGATCCCATTAAAACTGCATCTCTTGTGAAAATCATTTAGAGGAATTTCTGCAGGATTCCTGCAGTCATATGCAAAAGTTATAAAGTTAAAATAATGTGTTTCTTTATGTCTAAGTGTGAATAAGTTAACACCTTCACCACAGAGAACACACTTCTGCATATTTTAAAGTACAATTACTGCTTACTTGCTGAATTTAACATAGCAAAAAATGTAAGAAGTATCATACAGCACTGAAAAGAAATCTCACAGTTTCAAACTTGTTCAGTAACTGTACTTTTCCATGCTTAACCCATTACTGTCCATATAGAAATGTTTAGTTTCCTTTGGTCTATTTGTTACTTGAACACAAATCTGGAGAAAATTCTCAAATCAGTCAAATAATATGGTTTAAAAATAAATAATGAGTTTTTATCATCCAGTATTTTGGTCGCATCGAAATCCCATTTAAAAAAAAAATAAATAAATAAAAAATACAAACAAAGAAATGCATTTCCTGAAGAAAATGCAGAGTAATTGCACAGCTTAAGTTTGCTAGGTGGTTGCTGTGGTATCCCAGATGGTTGTTAGGGTGTTGCTAGATGGTATCCTAAATGGTCGCTAGGGTGCAGCTAGGCAGTTGCTATAGGACCCCAAGTGGTTGCTAGGGAGTTGCTAGGTGGTTGTTAGGGTGTTACTAGTTGGTTATCATGGTATTCTAGGTGGTTGTTAGGGTGTCACCAAATGGTTATCATGGTATCCTAGGTGGTTGTTAGGGTGTTGCTAGATGGTTATTATGGTATCCTAGGCTAGGTGGTTGCTAGGATGTTGCTAGGTGGTTGCTATGGTATCCCAGATGGTTGTTGGGGTGTTGCTAGATGGTTATTATGGTATCCCAGGTTTTCACAAGGGTGTTGCTAGGCAGTTGCTATAGTATCTCAAGTGGTTGCTATGTGGTTGCTAGGTGGTTGCTATGACATCCCACTTGGTTAATTTGGTGTTTCTAATGGACTTAGCTGGATGCACAAACTTTTGCAACCTATTCATTTAAATGGGGAAAACATTGTTATTTAATAATAATTGTACGAAAAACCTACATCCAGTCAAAAAGCTGTATACAAGCACACCATTCCTGATCAAACCAAACATTCCGGAGTTGGAATGGTGTTGACATCTTGAAAACTGCGGGACGACTTAGCGGACAAAATCCGGCAGAGAAAGAAGATGAAGATGATGATGATGATGATCATACCGTTGAATAACAACAGTTTTGCATATTGAATATTGTATCATGGTATGGAAACCTATTGGTGAAACATAAAAAATAAACTGTTATGTGTCATAAACCAGGCTAGTGGGACATAAACATCCTCAACTGAAGAACGTAGTCTTTTTACATTTTTAGAAAAACAGCTTTAGAACTCTTACTCACTTAATAAAAAAAATGATTAAATATACCATAAAACGGGCTATTTTTATTATTATTACTGCGCTTTTAAGATTGATATATATAAATTAGCTCTGTTCTGATTAAGTTTAAGATAAAAAAATAAGAATGACATAAAAGTAGATCTCAGCTTAATTAAAAGAAAAGGAACGCAAAAAAAGAGATCTTTATAATATATTATGGACATTATAAATGTAAGAAGCGTGCTAGCAAAGTTACCTACTACTTTTAAAAAGCCCATCTTATGTTTTTCTTTTATTTAATTCGTTCCCTTTTAAAAAATTGTGAGTATTTATGCACCAAAAACAGTCATAATTAATTTTTACATGAGTATTTTCCATCTCCTCTTTACCTTTCAGAATTAAAGAGGCTATTTTTATCATTATTACTGCATCTTTAAGACTGACATATTTAAATTAGCTCTGTTATGACTGGTTGCCCTGTATCATGACTCAAAAAGCAATTTGGGCTGAAACACTCCTTATAACTTCAGAACAAACTACTTCAGACAGAGAATGCAGATATATGTAAATGTGCTGACATCAAAAACAATCCTATTCAAAACGAGCTGATTTTGCAGCTTACTTGTTATGTTTCGGCTGTATGGACTGGACAGTGGGTGATATGTTTACATACTACATGAAACTGAATGCGATAGAGGGGCTGATAAACAGCTGAGCTACAGTCTGTAACTGCACATCAATGTACAGTAGGTGTTTCCAATAAAGTGGCCAGGCAGTGGAAGCACAAGGTAGCGCTTTCTAATAAAGTGTGTGGAGAGCGTATATACCGAAATGTTTCATGTAGCCACGCCCCCTGCCCCTGGATTGGCTTCCTGCCGTTCTTAGCGTTTATTTTCGTCCAATGAAAAGTGAACTAAAGTACGACGTCACATTCCTTTCCCTCAGCGCTCAGAATCCGATTTCAGCCGCCGCGAGTAGATCTGCTGGTTTGCAGACACGTTTCCAGTTTCCAGAAGCGGAAGGGCGAAAGAAAATGCATCGTTTAAAACGAAAGCTAAGACGGAGAGACGTCGTGTACATAAACATCAGCCAAAACTTGGGACATTTGCTGTGTTAACAGACCCGTTTGAGCGAGTAACATGAGGAGAATTTAAGAAATATGAGAGAAATTAAATCTCACCACAGTTAGTGTCAGCAACACAGAGCGAACTGAGACTCTGAAGATCATTTTTAAGGATATATGATGTAAAACAGGATTACAAAATACATTTTAATAAATACATTTTAAGCCAAAACCTTATCACAAAACTACCATAAAACAATGTCTCAGGCATCAGACAGCGTATTCATAACCATTTCATGTAATATATTTCTGTGAGGAAGCTTTTAGAGGTCGGCGTCTGGTTCCTATCACCACCACCGTGAACAATTCTGACTCTACAGCTTTCTCCTGAACGGATCATTTGACACCAAAGCGCTCCGAATGGCCCCGTTTACATTTGTGAAGAAATTCTGAAAGGTCGGTGGAGCTGCCCTTTAAGGGTGTGTTGGAAACGTTCAACACAAATCCAGCGCCGGCGGGAGCACGAAACAGAAACGTTAGCGAGCTAGCCGAGGCTAGGCTAGCTAAACTAAAGATTAACCAGCCTGTGAAGGTGAAGATAGTGAAAGCAGCTGGCAGAAACGAGCCGAAAACACGTCGGCGAGTCTGAAAAGGGAATAAACAGGCGAAGCGAGGACGGAGGGCGACGACAGGCAGCTTTTCCGGACTTGTTTTTGAGCAGTATTTTCTCTCGTACCGGCTACAGGCCTCTGGAACCGATGGAGGGGGTGAAGCAACTTTTCATGTGAAAACTAAAAGGTTTTTAATGTGTAGGAGCGCCGGGGAAGGAGTGGAAGTGGATTGTTTTGGCTCAGAGGACCGCTGGCTTGAGGTAACAAGGCTTTGTTTTGAAGAAAAAGCCCTTTTTGAAGGAGATAAAAGTCCCTCATGCCTTGCTGTTTCCCTCCATGCAGTGAAGCAGTGAAGCAGCCACACCCTCCAGAGCTTCCTGATAGCAAGATGTACAACTAAAAGCTCAGTGTCTCCCAACAAGCTCACTGAGCTGCTCAGGCCTGAGGATTTCTCCATTTAAACAGACTTTGGAGCGTGAGAGAGATGGCCAGCCAGAGCAAAGACCTTGGCTCTGCGTGCCGGACGAGGCTGTTCCCTGCTTTTGGCTGAGGAGGGCCTATGGAACGGTAGATATGCCTGGTAAGGAACTGAGCCTTCACAAGCGACTGGTCTACATCACGGGTTTGTGTGCGAAGAAGAAGAAGAGGTTGAAAACCGAGGAAGGTGTGGGAAGCCCCCCCGCTGTAGCAGAGTCTTTTATTTTGGAGGTCTCATGGGATGATGGTGCTGAAGCGGCGGAGCCGTACCTGGCAGGCTGATCCAAACTGCCTCCTCTGCATTAAAACAGGCATGACACTCACCCCTGCTTTAAACGGGTGGGCTACACTGGACAGGTCGTTCGTGCTCAGCAATACGTTGGATCCACATCCTGCGACCGCGACAAGGAGAGCAGGACCTTTAAAAACCCCTTGGCTTGGCACGAATTAAGAAAATGGACACGAGTGTAATTGGATGTCTGTTATCATCTTGCACTTTGCCTTGATTTGGGCTCTGTTGTGGCACTGCAGCAAGTGTTTGTTTTTTTGTTTGTTTGTTTGTTGTTTTTGTGTGTTGTTGGACCAAGATTGGCAACGTACAACCTGTGAAACTGTTCAGGTTACCTTAAGCATGATAGATGTGATTTCGCATAAAGTGCCGGCACATTTAAGGTCAAATTACAGAAATACCGAGCAGTTTAGAGTCATTCGGTTGAAGGGATTTTTGATTCATAGCCTTGATTTTCACCTCAATTGCTCAGACTATTCCCAACTGTTTTTTGTTCATATCACAACTATGCCAGAACATGAGTGAAGTTGCATTATACTATATTTTCTGATTTTCTTACAAACGTTTACTAAAATTCTGAACAATTTAATAGTGGATATTAGCATATTTTCTGAAGGACATTACAGAAGACTCTTTTAAGGCCAGTTTCAGGTTTTCTCAGAGAAGGTGTGCTGAAGAAAAAGAAAAGAAATACATCTAAGTTATGAGTTTATACTATGGAATGTGTGGTGTAACCTGTATTTTGTACAAAAAAGAAAATTCCGGACAGTAGCTCGACCACCCTACTATGGCTAGTAGTGGCTCGGGAAAGTCAGATAGCGAGGTTCCGACCAACATCCTGAGTGGCAGCTTGCAGCAAAGGAAAAGACTTTCATCCATCTGTGACTCGTGCAAAAGCAAGATGCAGCTGGTGGCGGACCTGCTTCTGCTGTCCAGTGAGACCAGGCCGGTGGTGACGGCGGACGGTCAGCAGGTGGCAGAGACTTTCGACAAATGCCGGGATACGGTGATCGCCCGGACGAAAGAGCTATCCATCATCACTCATGACATCCAGAGCCAGCTCAACATGGGCAAGTTTGTGGAGGTTGGGGACAGGCTGGTGGAGATGGGCGACCTGGTGGTGTCTCTGACGGAGTTCTCGGCTCATGCGGCGTATTTGGCCGCTGTGGAGACTCCGGGTTCGCAGCCTGCTGTGCCGGGGCTCGTGGACCGCTACAAAGTGACCCGCTGCCGGCATGAGGTGGAGCAGACCTGCAGCGTCCTCCGGTTGACGCCATTGGCCGACCTGACCCCACAGCTTCTCCTGGAGGTGTCGCAGAACATCCTGAGGAACCTCACCACCCTCACCGATGCTTCTTCTCTGGCCAGTGAAAAATCCAAGGACAGATTCGCCAAGGAGCAGTTCAAGGCCAGTGTCAAGTGCATGAGCACCAGTGCCACGGCCTTGCTCGCCTGCGTGAAAGAGGTAAAAACCTGCCCTAGCGAACTTTCACGGAACCGTTGCGTACTCTTCAGCGGACCGCTGGTGCAGGCCGTCCACGCGCTGGTGGGGTTTGCGACGGAGCCGCAGTTTCTGGGCAAGCCGGCTGCGCTCAGTCCGGAAGGCAAAGCAGTGCAGACGGCCGTGCTAGGGGGCGCTATGAGCGTGGTTTCGGCCTGTGTCCTTCTCACCCAGGGCCTCAGGGATATATCCCAGCACCCCGAAAACAGCGCCCAGATGCCGGGGTACCGGGAGCGCCTTCGGAACTCGGCCTGTGCCGTCTCGGACGGCTGCACGCTGCTTTCGCAGGCGCTAAGGGAACGATCCTCACCCAGAACTCTACCGCCAGTCAACTCTCATTCTGTGAATTAACGGATACACAAGTAGCCCTATTTGTTTATTTTTTTATGTACCAAAGAGACTAATCAGGTTTTAATCAATACACCCGTATTGTGTGATCCTATTGAGTGAATGTAGGGGGATGTGTCTGAATTTAGCCTGTCAAACGAGAGCTAGGCTGTATTTCATAATTTCCACCGAGGTTCCGAGGGAGGAGGCAGGTTTTTCTTGCGCTGGATGTAATAAAAACCCTAGCCGAAACTGACAGACATCATTTCTAACTCATGCTCACTCACTGGTAGCTGCAGACTTTGTAAAATTAGATCTCCCAAACTTAACGGAAACTAGCAGAAAAGTTTACCTCAGTTTTAGGCGTCTGAAGGCCTCAGACGGAGTGACGGTTGTAGCTTTTGACGTGTGTGATGGATGTCGTTGTGTGACTTTTTCTGATGGGTTAAAGCTGCTGTGAGTGCGTGCCATAGGTTTTACACTATTTACCAGACTTACAATAGCATTTTAATGTCTTTTTTTTGATCATGCATGTACTGGAGTATTTATTTCAACTTATTAAAGTGTTGTTTCTCATATGTGAGAGTTGTTCACGTCTCCCTCATTAGAGTGGGGTTTTAATACAGATTGTGTGGAGCGCACAGTAATTAAATAACGCTTTCTTAACAAAACCTTGAACGGATAAGTTTACAAGGAGAACCATAAAACTTTACTACATTACATTGACATAAGCATGTCGTGTGTTGTTATGAGCTGTCATGATAGATTATATCTAGTGATATAACACTATCATATTACCATTTCTGGTGATGTCAGATGCCATAATGTTTGATGTCACGACAGATAACTAGAGCACGCTTGGCAAAAATTAGTTTCATGGCAGTTACCAATAATGGTCACATGACACTCTTATATTACTGATCAAAATCCGTCATGACAACTCATTACAGCATATGACGTTTAGGGCATGTTCAGTCAATAATGATAAAACATTCAAATCTTTAATTTCCCTTTAATGTAAATAATTTGTTGCTGGTAACATAAAGGAGAAAGGAAAAAATGTTACTAACTTTCATGCATGTTAATGTAACAAATTTTTGTTCCAAGTAATTTTGGGCCATGTCTTTTGATCTATTTGTCATAAAACGTCCGCACAATGTAAAGGACAGCTGGTGTTTCCAGATTGTGTAAAAAAAATACATAAAAATGAAAACAATGAAGGTTACAATGTTTTGATATGACATTGACGATATATAAGACACAGGACCTGCAATATAGCCAACAGTGTGACATTTGTCTTTAGTATACTTGTTGCAGAGAATTTGTTTGATTTGTTTGTCCGTTACAGTCGTGTGCAAAAGTTTGGGTGCCCCTCGTTTTCTAAGTGAACGCATTTCTGCACATTTTAATGCACAATTACTGTTTATTTGCTGAATTTAACATTCAGGGAGAAACAAATGTGACCTTTGCAAAAGTTATGGCACGTTTTATGTTTTTTTTCCAATATGTTAAACTCAAATAGATAGCAGCTAAAATTTGTAGAAAAATGCCTTACAGTTCTGTTACCTTATTTTCATTTAGAAAATCAACAAAATGACATTTGAGGGGTCTTAAAATGTTTGTATGTGACTGTACTTTACCTGAACAAAGGACATATATGCTATGAAAATGACTGGATTTCATTCAGTTTATTCAATTTAGTTTCTATTGCAGCACCATTGAATAATGTCGTCAAAGTCAGAGCAAAACTTTGTGTATGCATTTTTGTAGTTTTTATGTATTTATTTATTTTTGGACAGAATTTTTAAAGCTCCAGCATCCATTCACATTCTTTGACCATATACGATGAATGGACGAGTAGAATCGTACCAAAACTACTTCCCAGTACAGTAACTTATGGTTAAGTAAAGTTACCCTTTTGCGTATTTTGTTCCCACACTAGGGACATATAATAGCATTCATCTTGTTTTTAGCTGCTACTGAGTACTAGGATCCATGAGTTTATGTGTGTTGAGAGTGTGCCACCTTCAGCCTGTCACTGTCAATTGTAAAAGGCCTTTTGGAAAATGCCTCTCAAATTCCTTCCATTTTCTTTGAATATAAACATTGGTCTGAAATTGGCTAACAGCTGCAGCGCAGTGAATTGAATGGTTAAAGTTAAGCCAGATATTTGGCTTTCTTTTAATGGATGAAAGTTTTTTTTCTTTCCTTGCGGTGGGAAAGGAAAAAAAAAACTCGCTTTTCCAGGAGGGCATATGAATCTGTATTATCAGTTTTTTCATGAGGCGTGGATCAGCATGGTTAACCCCAATAATGTGTCGGCCTTTGAAGAGCTCTTGAGCACATATCCCACCTAAAGTGGATCCTGATATGTTCCATTTGTTATCACAGGCTGCGATAAGCCTCCCTCTGCCCTCAGCTCTGGCAGGCCCGTGTTTGAAGTCTGAAATCTTGACTTTGTTAGCCCCCACAAATGGAATAGGGTGCGCTGACTGGGTCACACGGAGAGCAGTTTTCTTGCTGCACTGGTTTTAGTGATGTTCTTAGGCCTTGTATGTTTTAATTAATAGTTTTCTTCAGAAATTAGGTCATGAAACTGCAGTGTTATTATTCAGCTATTAATCTTAAACTAAAAGGCCACCTATTTGGGCCCACACTAGTTTCTCTCTCTCTCATAACTTCTTGCATTTTTTTGTAGTACTTATTGAACTAGTTTTAGAAATCACTGACTTATCAGTGTTTATTATTCATTTTTTATTCATAATCTTAGCATTTTTGAAGATAAAAAATGATAAATCTCAGGGTCAAGGGGTTAAGTCTTATTAGCTACTATCAATTATATTTAGAATTGAGTGATTATCAAGTGATTATTTTGAGTAGTCATAACATGCACAATTTATAACAGCTAACATTTAATTTTACTTCACTTACATGACATTTCTGACTATAAATGTGCATTCATGAGATCCTTCTGGTTTGGGTTTCCTCTATTTCAGTGATGCACACAAAAATGATAACAGCATCACCTTGTGTAGCATGTTCAGACTGCTGAACACTGCTTTATAATGAGGTATGGATTCCCTGTTTATCGATCAGCTTGCAAATTAATCACTAAGCTGATTCATTGAGAAGATTTTAAACAATTATTTTTTATTTAAGAAATCATGACAACCCTGTTAACTACTGTACCATTATTATTATTAGGTTATTTGCTATTCTAAATGTATAATTAGCTACTATATTAGAAACTACTATGAATTGTTCAGTATGAAACTAACATGCATGGTATGTGTGAGGAATACTTTCATCTCTGAAATAAGGTTACCATGAGTAACGCCTTTCAACTGCAGGCTTATTACTCAGTTATTAACTTTAAAGGGGAAATCCACCAATTTTATTAAATGTCTAGGATGTAAACAGAGTCATTCAGATTGGTTTAGTGTGAAATGCTCCGTCCTAGAGAAACTCCCCGAGTCACAATTGTTCACAGTGGTGGTGATAGGAACCAGACGTCCACCTCTAAAAGCTCCCTCACAGAAAGTTATTATGTGAGATGGTTATGAATACACTGCCTGATGGCTGAGACTTTTTTTTTGTATTGTAAAGCAAAATAGTCCCCAAAGAAAACTCTTCATTTTACCATCATCAACATTCCATATAAAACTCAGAAGACTCAAGTAGGTTCACTGGTAGTTTTGGATGAATAAACTGGCTATATTTGTGCTGTACCACAACAGTGAATCATTTCGCACTTTGTTTACTCAACCACTGGAGTATGCAGAAATAAAAAAGAAATGGAATTTCCCTTTAAGTCTTATTATTAACTACTATTACTATGTGCTCAGCCTTTCTAGACCTATTTTTAACTACTATATAAGCATCCATCAAAGGGTGGACAACAAGGCAAAAATATAACATCACAATAATTAAAGACACGATATGTGACTTTTTTTTTGATATATTTAGTTTTCCTGAGGTTTGTTAAGTTGGAACCGGCAAAAAAAATGCAGTTTTTAAAAATGCTATCAAAAACTATGAATAGTCATTTTTATTCAACATTCAGTGTACTGTGCTGTACTGAATCTAATTAAACAGGACTAATTATACTGTTTGTAATGAAACCTACAGTCGCTGTACTTTAAGTGCCAACGATATTCATTTGATCAGGAAAGCATATTCTAATGTGATGTGATAAATTATATAATAATAATTACATGTATTGTCGTATTACCCACCCCAAGTAGCAACTAATTTCAGTAATTCAGTAACTTCTATGGAACTAATAAGCATTTAGACCAAAAGGATCCACAAAGAGAAGAATAGAGTCTAACAAACTTTAGGTTCTTATGCTGATGGATGCTGGATGGACTAAGAAGTTCCATTGTAGTTCTTAAAGTTACTCTGTACTTTGATATTTTAAAAAAAAATCTGCATAATTCAGCACTGGAGATGAAAACACAGTGATTCAGAGTGGTTTAGTGTGAAATGGTTGATTATAGAGACTTTTTTTTTTTTACAGTGGTAGTGATAGGAACCAGGGGTCACCATGACTACAACACAAATATAGAAATATACTTTATTTGAGGACTATGCATGCGCCTCTCCACCATGAATGTATTTTGAACAAAATGTTTTAGGTCAAAACCTTCTTAAAACTATTGTAAAACAGTGTCTCAGACATCAGGCATGGTATTCACCATTTCATGTAATAACTATGGATCTATTGGGTAAGCTAAGTAACATATACGGGCCTGGTTTTAGGGACTAATTATCAACACATTTTTGTTTTATTTTTTATCAGTTTACAAGAATACAGCAGAATTCTGACAGTGAGTTAAAAATCTGGGTGGATGTATTGTTTCTTTTTGTATATGACCCACAGAAGTGGGTGATAGTTTTATTGCTATATTAAGTTCATTTATAAGTTTGTGGTGGTAAATGATTTTCCATTTTGTGGTGGTAAATGATTTTCCATTTTAAACCCTTCCGAACATGCTTTTGATGCTTTTGGACCAGGCCCTTCAGATCTGTCTGGCATTCTGAGTCCACCTACATGCCCCTGACTGCTTTTTCATTACTCACTCAACAATGACCCGGGATCCTTTTGTCCTCTTCCTCCCCACATGGTAAAAGCCAAAACTGTTAGTGCACAACAGGAAACCAAACGGCCTCTGCTATCAGGAGGCGCTTCCTTCACAGCACAAAATGTCGGAGTAATAATTTCAACCATGGTTTCGCCCATTTCCTGCTAAAAAGGAGGGACGTTAAGAGCCCATCCCTGACCAACAATGCTACTGGTTACCAGCCTCCTCCGGTGCGGTTGGTGTAAACATGTGTAGGGTTGCTAACAAGCGGCCTCATTCTGATCTGAGATCAGTTTGCAGTTTGTTTTATAGTAAGAAAAGCGATGAAGTGGGGTCTGCCACAAAATAGCTCTGAGTTTGCTTACAAAGAGGAAGGGGAATGTACAGTAATGTGCAAGTGCAAAGCTGTTTATTCAGTCACTAAGCAGTCATTTGTTACAAAGAGCACTAACGTTAGAATAAATACAATAAACAAATAAACCACAATGTTATTTGATGTGAGCGAGTTACTTTAACTAATTCCAGAGCTCTGTCACGCAAGATAAATAGTTATAATCAATATAATCAATTCGTAAAAATACATCGATGCCTCAATCTGAATGTAGTGATTCAACATAGATCACAGATTTTGTAATGTTATAATTGACTAGTTAGACAAAAACAAAACACAAATATACTTGAGAAGAAGTAAAGGTGTTATTATAAAATGGATAGTTCTGGTCCTAAAACTTGATTGGCTGAGCCACATTTGGAGCCATTGTAAATTCCACGATACACGCACACCTATGACCACCTTACAACACCTATATTGTATATTACTGCGCCACGGCACGAAAAAACCCTTGTGCTGTTAATGGAATAATCTTTGACTCTCATGCTGCTCGCATGGATCACCGAGTATATTGATTAAGTAAGATTTTTGTTTCAACTGAGGGGCTGGCAACTTATTTTCTTAACTAGAACTAGGCTGGTCAGCTAGCTAACAGGCTAAAAGACAGCTAACAGCCTAAACGACTCCATCATTAATATCTTAGACTTGAATTAAAATACATACAGTATGATTAACTGTAAAACGGCAGTGTAAAAGTGTAAAAATGTCACTCAAATGGATTACACACTTCAAATGTTTGTGTTTTAGTCAGACGTCGTGTCAAACCCAGTCTTAAACGAATCTGTATTTCCTAAACAGTGTGCTAGCTTTAAGTTTAGAAATTCTAGCCTCTACAGTCAAATAGTGCATTTATCTAGTATGGATGAGTCCCAAATGAGTATTCCTTAGCTATATTTTGCACCATTGGACTTCAGGATCCAGTATTTAAATTCCTAGGTAGTGCACTATGTAGGGAGCAGGGAGCCGTTTGAGATTCAGCCCCAGCACAAGAAGAGAGGCACCGCTGGATTGGTGCTAAATGAGACTTGCGGTGGTAATTTGGTGACCAAAAAGTACTTATAAAGTGAAATATTTTGCATTAAACAGTGCTGTGTTATCATATGTCCATTGTTATATGACAAAAGAAGAACACCCTTCCCATGATAAAATCGCAGTAACGCACAGCCTCTTGTGGCTTATTGCTTTACTATAACTGTACCAAAACTGCAACAAGGTTTCAACTTTCAGTGTCAGTTTCAGGCTTATCATGTGAGGGCCTTTCTCAACAGTGTGAAAATTCAGGGTCAACCAGTCTAGAACATCTTTTGTGGGGGCCAAAGTTCCTGTTCAGGAGCCAAATAACTACCTTCAAAATCATAATAAAATCTCTGTATGCACCTGTTATAAAGATAATGCTCTATGAAGCACTATTAATCGACCACACTACTAATATAGCATACTCCATATAATCAGAGTTGTGTAGTAACTAGTCTCATTTACACAGTCTCATCTACAGAGGTACAATACTAACCCCTTATGTGGCCAGGACCCACCAGCAGGCCCAAACTTTTATTCCACACTTCTATAATCTAAGAATAGCTCAGCCAGTTTGCATTGAAGTCACTGTAGTTACTGAATGATAAGCCTTAGTATGTAATAAGCCTGGGATGGATGTATACTTTCCTGAGTATTTTTAAATGATAATAGTTTTACTAGTGGAATATATTGGTGAGGAAAGTACTCTAGTTTTTACTCAGCTGCATTTTGGCCAATAACATTGAGTTACTGATTCTGTTTTTGTGTTCAATTATGTTACGAACATGACAGCATCTGTACTGCTTTGCGATTAGTCATGATATCCAGCTTTTGAGGTTTATTGTTTTATTTTAGACCAAAAGGATCCAAAAAGAGAAGAATAGAATCTAAGAAATGTCAGGTTTCTATGCTGATAGATGCTGGATGGACTAAGTTCCACTGTAGTTCGAAAAGTTACTCTGTATGATTTGTAAAATGTTCTGCATAATTCAGCGCTTGAGATGTAAAAAAGAGTCATTCAGAGTGGTTTGGTGTGAAATGGTTGATTGTAGAGACTCAGATGTCTTTATAGTGGTGGTGATAGGAACCAGGGGTCGCCATGACTACAACACAAATATAGACATTTTATTTACTATCCAAAACCGCCAGTATACCTACATGTGTCTTCTGAGTTTTATATGGAATGTTGATGTGGTAAAAATGTATTTTCTTCGGGGACTGTGCATGCAAATCCCAGCCATAAATGTATTTTTAAATTTTGTTTTAGGTCAAAACCTTATTAAAACTATGGTATAACAGTGTCTCAGTCATCAAGCAGTGTATTCATAAACATTTCATGTAATAACTTTCTGTGAGGGAGCTTTTAGAGGTGGCCATCTCGTTCCTATCACCACCACTGTGAACAGTTCTGACTTGGTAAGTTTCTCTAGAGCGGAGTATTTCACATCAAACCACTCTGAATGATTTTATTTACATCTTAACCATTTAATGATGGAGAATTTTTGAGCTGCTGCTGTTTGAGCTGTACTTCTACTCAAGTCCTTCTTGGAAAACATTTATTTCACAGATTTAACAGTATTTTTATGAGTGTGGGTTTAGGCTGTTCTACCCACTCTGTTTATTATGCAGAGCAGAGTGTGTTTTACATTTAGTTGCAGATATGATTAAATATCTGAGTACAAAACTATATGTTCGAAGTCTTTTTTTGCCATCTAGTCCAGCGATATTGATTTTTAATCAGGCTAGTGGTGTTAATGTCATCTATGTGAAGAGATCTCAGTCAACACCTATTCAGGTGGTCCCATGTTGGCTGGCTACTCCAGCGTTGGTGGCTGCTAACTCACTCACCATAGCGGTGCTGATGCTAGCTGCTATGGCAACAGAATATGGTTTAACAATTCTTCTTTTAGAAATGCTCTTTTCTAGTTCGGGAATGCACTCTTCCACACATTCACCGAGATCATACACATCTCCTCTTCTGTCTTCAGTTTGAGAAATGAGGAACGATTCACTCTTTCCACCAAACTCTTGGGCAAGTTTTCAGATTTAAAAATATACTACAACATATTATAAAGTTTTTCAGAGGTGTCTCAGGCTTAGTTACAGTTTCTAGGCTACGAATTTTGAGACATTCAGGGGGTCCAAGAGGTTAATTAGGAAATCCCGACCTCCTGTTTGACGCACCCCAATCTGCTTTGAATGGCTTGAATTGCTTTAGTATAACATACAACTATCCACAAGTCACTTTCTCCAGTGTAATTATGTTTATATTTGGTTATTTTCTGTCATTTTGTTTTTATGGTGCAGATGGACCCAGAATTATTCACCCCGGTCACAGTCTTTATCACCGTATGCCAGCAAATGTCACTCATGCGAGAGGTAACAAGACACTGGAGCAAAGAATAAGGTGACACTACAGTCATTATTTATGGACAAACCTGATCAAATAACAGGGAGGAGCACGGACTGGCCGTTACCCGTAGTTGCATCGCTGTAGTAGACTCTTAAAGATAAAGATGGTTCTCGATTATATGGCTCTAGGAAAAATCTTTAAATGTAAAATATGTGGAAGCTCCTAAAAGTCACAAACAATTCTACACACAGAACATGGACCCTATTTGGACCATTATCTTTTGCTTAAGGGTAATAGTCATTTTAATCCATACCTTTATGTGAGGTAGATTTTTTTTTATCAGTGTGAAGAACTGAAAAGGGTGAAACCAGGACATATGGTGCGATTATTGAAAGAACAGCCGGGCTCTAGGAGGACCCTTAGCAACCTCTGGCAGTATCCAGGGATGAATGTCAGCCTTGTGAGATCTGATACCCAAAGCCTGTCAGACATGCTTCTGTTCCCATAGCGACCACACCCAGGTCAGCATGCTAGCATTTGGTGCCCTCATGTTCTCAGGTCAGCGCAGTAATCCAGAGCAGCTCAACCTTGAAATTGCATTGAAAATTGCTGCAGATGCAGGGTTGCACTGTAAAACAACACTGTTAGAAATAAAGGTTCTGTGCAGGTGCATTTTTTGCTCATAAAGGTACAAACAATGTAAACATTCCCTCAAAGGTACAACAGTGGTTTTAAGGTCCAATTGTATACCTTAAATAAGGTTTTTCCAGTGGAAAATTACAAATTTGTACCTTTTCATAACCTAATGTTTTAAAATAGAACAATAAAATAAAAAGCCTGGAGACGAGGCGGGGCATGTGGAGTCTACAACTTTAAAATAAATATAATTAATATAATATCAATGGATTATGGTACAATTAGAGTTTAGTACCTTTAATTCTGAGAGTGTAGTTAATGTGGGAGCATATTTGCTGCTGTAGCTAATATCAGGTCTTTCTTCAGCCAGTGCATCTGTTCAGCCATGAGTAGTTGATGCTCAGAACAATTTGCTGGTGTCAAGAAAAACTCATAACTTTCTCTTTTTTTCACTTTGTGTGGACATGCCAGGAAATGGACCAATAGAAATGATCCAAAATTAGTTGGAATAAATGGTTGTTACATTAAAATTACACTAAATTCAAGAACTTTTTCCTTATTCCTTAAAGAACGTATATTTTGGATATACAGTGACAATTTCTTCTTAGAGGGCCATGTTCTACATGTTTCTGCATATTTTTAAATGAATTATGAGTGTTGTG